CACAGGGCCAGGGTAGGCCCAGATATGACTAGGGGCAGCAGGGAGGGAAGTGTGGGCATGGGTCCTCTGTCCTTGCCCACATCCCTCAGTGCTACGTCAGGCCTGGCATACTAGGCCTGTAGTATGTGCTTGTGATCCAGTGGAGGACCGCTGCTCCCCACCGCCTCTTTTTCTGGTTATATCTCAAACCCAAGAGGAGGCTTGTCAGTGAGCCATGAGCAGACTGGTACCATGGGCTAGATGTGGAGTTCCAGGGAGCTGGCTGGGAATGTCAGTTGCTCATTACCCAGAGACCTCAAGACTCTGGGGAGATGGTTCATCTTCCCCTAACCATGGACAGAAGGTCACCAGTCTATGGGAAGTAGAGTTTGGACACAGCGTTGTTGTCATACCAACCCAGAGTCCGCTTCTAGAGGCCTTTGAGACAGTACCATTCATTGCCCCAAAGGAGCTCAAGGTCATACCAAGTGAAAATAATTCTGAGAGAGACTGTGATAATAAGGCTGAAGTATGTAAATGAGGTTCACTTTGACCTAAAGAGAGAGTTGAGGCTACCTAGAGAGGTACTTATTATTTGACCTTCAGTTGGTGTCCTATCATTAATTTTCTTGGATTTTTCTATGGTCGTTGACAGTTTGAAATTGTATTTTCTCTAGAGGTCTTTTGTTTCTGGTTATGAATCAGTCTGTCTGTTCTAAAACCAGAAAAGGTAATTGCTACAGTTAATATCCCAAAAGAGGCTGTATCGGAGAGTTAAGAGCAGCCTGCTTGAATCCTCACTGTGACACGATGAGCTATTACATGATTGCTCTATGCCTCAGTTTACCCATCCGTAAAATGGGTTGTGATGGTCCTTACCTCATAGGATAGTTTGGAAGAATAAATGACCTAGCAAATTTTTAAGTTTGTTGTGTTGCTGATAACAGAAATGCCTGCACCTGGGTGATTTGTAAAGAATAGAGCTTTATTTTGCTCACAGTTTTGGAGGTCCAAACTGATGAGGATCTTCTTGTTGGTGGGATCCCAAGGTGGCACAGGCATCACGTGTGAGCAATAGAGCAGCACACGTCCATGTCTGCGTCTCCTGCTAAACCCTGAGTATGCCATAACGAGGGCCCCACCCCTCTACCAAATTACTTCCCCAAGCCCCACCTCTCAACACCATAGTGAGATTAAGTCGGATTAGTTTAACCCCCTTCATCCCATTACAACCAAATTTTAGCACTTGAATTTGGGGGGACACAATCAAACCACAGCAGTATGTATATATGTAATTTTTTTTCATCTAGTACGATGTCTTCCAGCTTCATCTATATTGTCTCAAGTGACAGGATTTACTTCATTTCGAAGGCTGAATAGTATTCCATTATATATAAATACCATATTTGGCTTATCCATTCATCCATCACAGGACATGGAGGTTAATTCTGCAACTTGGCTGTTGTAATGGAGTGCCGTAGTGAACATGGGTGTGCAGGTGTCTCTTCCACATACTGCTTTCAAGTTCTGAAGATACAGACTCAGAAGTGGGAGCGCTGGGTCACTTTTTTGAGCTCCATACAAAAATGGCTGTCCTAATTTCATTCCCACAAATAATATACAGGAGTTTCATTTTCTCTACATCCTCACCGACACTTGTCGGCTTTTGTCTTTTTGATCATTGCTATTCTGACGAGTATGAAGCAATATCTCATTGTCCTTTTCATTTGCATTTTGATTGATGTTGAATATATTTTTATACATCTGTTGGCCATTTCTGTGTCTTTTTTTGTGAAATGTCTATTCAGGTTCATTGCCCATTTTTTAATCTGATTGTTTTCTTGCTATTGAGTTTATTGAGTTACCTACGATTTTGGATATTAACTTCTTACCAGATGAATGGCTTGCAAATATTTTCTCCAAATTTATAGATTATCTTTTTATTCTTGTATGTCCTTTGCTGTAGAGAAGCTCTCGTTTAGTTTGACATAAGCTCATTTTCTATTTTTCCTTTTGTTGTCTGAGCTTTTGGGCCAAATCCAAAAAAAATATTTTCCTAGACTGGCATTGTATTACTTCTCTGCTCATTGTCTGCTAACATTTTTACAATTTCAGGTCTCACATGTAAGTTTTTAATGCATTTCGAGTTAATTTTTGTATGTGGTGTGAAGTAAGGGTCCAGTTTTGTTTTTCTGTGTGAGAATATCCAGTTTTCCCAACACGTATTGAAGAGACTATTCTTTTCGCATCATGTGTTCTCAGCCCCGTTGCCTAAAATTAATAGACTATAAATGTGTGGCTTCATTTCTGATCTCTTTGCTGTTCCGTTAGTCAGTGTGTCTTTCTTTTTATGTTAGTACCATGTTGTTTGAATTGGGGTAGTTTCGTAAAATAGTTTGAAATTGAAATGTAATGCCTCCAGTTTTGTTCTTTTTGCTGAAGATTACCTTGGCTATCTTTTTTTTTTTTTTTTTTTTAGGACATTGGAATTTGTATAGAGATTACATTTTACATTGAAACTACAGATTGGTTTGGGTGGCCTGGACATTTTCACAATATTAATTTTTCCAATCCATGAACCCATAATATCTCCATTGTTTGTGGTTTTGTCAGTTTCTTTCATCACTCTTTACTGGGTCATTGGGAAAGTCATGACTCATTTTTGCATAGAAAAATATGTCATGATTTTCCCAACAACCTAATGTAGTTTTCAGTGTACAGGTCTCTCAACTCCTTGGTTAAATCTATTCATAAGTATTTTATTAGCTATTATAATTATTTCCTTGGTTTCTTTTGGGATAGTTCATTCTTCATGTATAGAGTGAACTACTAATTTTTGGAGGCACAGTGGTAAGCAGTTTATTTGAGATTTTTATTCCTTGAACTTCCCACTGTGCTTCTGGAGACAACCAGCTTGGCTTTGCAGGTGGGTATACTCTTGGCTGGTGTCTCTGATGGGGCTCTACGTCTGGTAAGAACGCAGAGCTCCCACGCACATCGCACGCTAGTCGCTGTGCGCTCCACTGCCTTTGCTTTATTTCTGCTTAACACCAGGAGATCTCACCCTGCCATTACCGCAGGTTCCCCAGGAGGCAAGATAGAAGTGGGCTTTTTGCAAAACATCTTGGAATTTCAGAGAAGCCAATGTCAGCTTGCAGTTCTTTTTTCCCCACTGTGGAAACCATACGTCCAGGGGAGTCCTGACTTGAGCGATGGGAGGGGACGATGTGGTTAAAGTGAGACTGTCCCTCTTACTGTTCAGATGCAGATTTCATTTGGTTCTGGTTTGCACATAGGTGCCTCAGTCTCATTCTCAAGTTTCGGGGTTTACAAGGGCATTCCCGTCTGTGGTCTGTGGCGAGTGGCTGGTTGTACTTGCTGTTGGGGGAGGGGAAGCCCGCGTTCCAAGGTCCTGCTGACCATGTCCTCTGTAAAACTTTCAGCCCTCTGATACACTGGGCTGTGCGTTAGCGGTGGCTGCTGCAGGTCATGATGAGGTGTGGTTAAAACTAGCAGCTTGCAACTAGGAAAAGATAACGTCATCTGCCCAGAGCAGGACTACAGGGATACCCAGACAAAACCGAATTCCCTCAGCGACGTTTTCATACCTGCTTCCGTGCCTGACTGAGTCCCTGAGCCCTGCAGCACTGAGAAATGATTGGGAGCTTGAAAATTTTCCAGGTTCTCACTGTGGCCTTAGGAAAACTTTAGTCAAACCCCTATAGAATGCCAGGTTTGAGGCTTTATGGTTTTCTGGAATAGACAACATAAATGAACTAAAATGTTTTCCCAATAACCAAGGAAACTAAATTACGAAGTGATGAAGCAGTTGTAATTAGAAACCCCCTGTGAGAGATAGAGTGCACTTGCAGAGTAGTTCCTATGAAGCCTATTTTTTTCCTGAGAATACTATGGACCCTATGAGAATCAACTCTGTTGAGAGCACTCCTGACTCTTGACAGAAAACCTTGTCATTAGTGTAATGGGCAAGTTCACCTTTCTGGCTTAGTACAAATTGGTGTCATTGAGATCCAGTGAAGGCAGGCGAGGATGCAGTGCTCTTAAATAGTGCCCAGACATTACCTGGCCATCAGCAGATGTTGCCGCCATCTTGCCTCTGCAGCTCAGTTTATAATTGCTCATACTATCTGAGCTCAAAGCCAAGGGGAGATCAATGACTTTCACATGATTCGTGCCAACCTTTCGCACAAGACAGTAGATAATTGGTAGTGGAGTGGGTTTGCCTGTCCATGCCTGTAAAATTTTGGACAGTGAAACCCACACATGTAGTATATTGGAAAGGAGCTAGCATAAAAATGAGAGAGAGTGAAAGACATGAAAAGAGAGATTGGGATTGAGAGAGGGAGTGAGAGAAATAAGTACTCTGACCAGGGTCTCACATCAGGATCCCCTTGCCATCCTTCCAGTCCGTCATGGTCATGACCATGCACCCAGCATGTACAGATCAACCTGGTCACCTAATCCAGGGTCTTCCCTGTGGACCCAGCTTTGCTAGGGCAGTTCATTACTGCTGTACCCCCTTCCTGGCCCAGCTGGCCCATCACACAAATTCCTGATGTGTACACACAGACACAATTGCTCTTTTGAAAAATTGTGTAGAAAATAATTGGAATTTACCCATATTGAATTATAGCCCAAATAAGGATTCTATTTTAAGTGAAAGCTTAAAGGATTTACCAGAGTAAGAATCTCTTAGTTACTTTGCATTTTGATTTTAACATATTAATTAGATGAACTCCAAGGGGAGAATTTGCTATGTCGGCTGGAAGTAGAGTCAGACTCTCAGACTAGGGAAGTAGGGTCTGCAGAGAAGCCGAAGGACAGATTAATCTGTGGGAATATGGTTGTGTGTGTGACACACACGTCTCAGAGCTGAGTGGGCGGGTGTCCTTCAGTAGCCATTCTAGGAAGAATGCTATCGGTCAAGAGAAAGAATTTGCCCACCGAATCCCCTCTTTCAGCATTGAACAGCAAGAGATAACGTCTGCTTTTCCTTCCAGACCACTGCTCTTCCAGACAAGTGAGCACGTGGCCAGCAGTCCCGCGCTGGGGGACGTTATTCCATTCAGCATCGTTATTCAGTTTTTGTTCACAAGAGCACCGGCTGAGCTGAAATCCCCCTTCCAGGTAATACAATGAAGCCAGAACCCTCGCATGAGTCTTCCCCGCTAGCTTTGTGAATACTGAGCCTCTCTGGATTGTTCTTGGCCCTCACTTACTTTATTTGATCCCAGATGTCAGTGACTGACAGTGAATGGGGATCAGGAAGGACAAGCTACTGCCCAGCATCTGCTTTCTCCGCAGTGTAGAAAGTTACTTGATGAATCCAGAATTAACCCTTTAGATAGTGATACAAGTAATTTATGTTCATAAAGCTTTTTTTGGTGGTAGCCCCGTTTCCTTTGCTGATCCACCATCAACAGGCAAATTTCAGAGGGCTCCTTGGTGGTCTGGGAGGTGCAGCAAGGCCATTGCCATCCATGTCCACCTCGCTCTGTCAGGGAATCCTCTGGAGTGCTTTCTGAGTCAGCGTCTGCTGCCATTCGCTGAAGGATGTGTATGCGTTCTCTCTTGTCCACCTACAGAGGGCAGAGTGGTCCCACGCACGCTTCTCCCAGTGGCTGGATGACCATCCATCAGAAAAGGACAGGCTTCTCCTCATCAGGTAAAGCCATGCGTTCCAGGGGCATCCATCTGGGCTGGAAGCCCAGGAACAGTGGGGGGATGAAGGAGCAGTGCTTGGGCATGGACATGTCTTTACCTCTTCATGGCGGACACCTCGCCATGTAAGCACATGTGCTGGAATACCCAGCAACTGGAACACTGGCTTTCATTTCTTTTCTGCCATGCCATGCCTAAGGCAGCCCTAAGGACCATGCACTTCTAAAAAAACCAACTTCAGCTATGGAAAGATTTCTCTTAGCTCCATAGTCTTGGCTTCATTTTCGTGCGTTGCCATAGTTGAACTGGTGGAATGCAAATGTGAGTGAACTTTGTTGTTAAGAGATTTTTGCCTTAGGGCATGTGTATTTGCTGAGGAGAGGGAGACACACCTAGAAGTGAGAAATTACCCCTCAGGGGAGATGGCCATGCAGCGGTCCCTTTTCGATTCTTCTCCCAGGATCTTGGGCACACACACACATGGGCCCAGCGTGATTTTCAAGTCATCGGGTCCAGGACTTGAACCCACAGTCGACCATGTGGGAGTCTAGCAGCGTAATCACTACGCCATCTGCTGGCCCTGTGAGTGGACTTTTGAGAATACTACATAGGAGTGTTCTCAATAGGAAACAAGAACAATAGGAAACAAGAACAATCCAGCAGCCACTTAAGAGACCACATTCCCTTTACTGGTGCCCCTTGACTAGGTATATACATAAGTGCACACCTAGATGCACACATGCACCTTATACTTCAACCATGCGCAGGGTGGGACTATCACATGTGGCTCATTAAGCATTTCCCGTCCATCAGTAGTCTCCTCTGAAATCACTGTCACCAAAATTACCAGAGATCTCTGCCATCAAACGTGTCCGTTCTTACCTGACCACTCCGCAGCATTAGCTGGAGTTGACCACCATTTCCTCTTTATACTCATTGCTGGCTTAAAGTCTTATTGATTGTAGGCCCATATTCTGTTGATGTGCTGGGTCCTGTGCTAGGAACCAAAAGTACAAGGTAAACTGAGATCTGGCCTTGTCCTCTCAGAGTCCCTTGTACCATGGCCATCTATTTGTTTTAACCTCTCTGCCCATTATTTTTCTGTCTGCCCTCTTTTTTTTTTTTTTTTCCTATTATTTGCTGAATTGTCTTCTTCCAGCCATCCACTCCTTAATTCCTCCCGTTTTGTTTCTGGATCTTTTTCTTTCTCATTCTGTCTGTTTAGCTCATTGAGACCTCTGGTCTCTTCACTACTGAATGGCCCCCAAGTCTGTGACTCACTTGATTGCATGGGGCCAGTAAACTTGCTGTATGTCACCACTCAAATATGCCACAGAGAGCACTCCGAAATTTTAAAAACCAGTAATCTTTCCTTCAAATCTTCAGGTAAACTGAGATCTGGCCTTGTCCTCTCAGAGTCCCTTGTACCATGGCCATCTATTTGTTTTAACCTCTCTGCCCATTATTTTTCTGTCTGCCCTCTTTTTTTTTTTTTTTCCTATTATTTGCTGAATTGTCTTCTTCCAGCCATCCACTCCTTAATTCCTCCCGTTTTGTTTCTGGATCTTTTTCTTTCTCATTCTGTCTGTTTAGCTCATTGAGACCTCTGGTCTCTTCACTACTGAATGGCCCCCAAGTCTGTGACTCACTTGATTGCATGGGGCCAGTAAACTTGCTGTATGTCACCACTCAAATATGCCACAGAGAGCACTCCGAAATTTTAAAAACCAGTAATCTTTCCTTCAAATCTTCTCATCCTCCAATACTATCTACATTGGATGGGAGGTCACCATCACCACAACAGTCAAGCAAGAACACTTTCAAACCGTCATCCACATCCACTCAGTTGTGCCTTGTAAATAGCTCTGAAGCCATTCCCAACTGCACCTGGGTCCCTGAAGCTCCCAGTCTGGGAGAGTATGCCAGAGGTCTTCCCTTGGGCCTCAGTGCAGCTGAAGGGTTGGATTCTCCAAAGCAAGTAGGACTGATGTGGGGAGGTGGCTCTTACCAGAATCACTTACAGAGCCTTGGAAAATCTTAGTGCCCAGGCCACATTCAGAACCTTGGGGCTGCAACCTGGCAACAGGATTCTTTATAGCTCCCTGGGAAGGTACACAGCCCAGCCAAGGGTGTGACCCACGGTGTAGCAGCCAGCTCAGGAGACGGTGAAAGATGATGAAAAAAGAAATAGCAGCACATCCACTTCCAGGATCCACACTGCACCCCTAAGTTTGATGCCCAGAGCCTATGAGCCCTGGTCTGGGCTCCTGCATGGATCAGAGTAACCCAGACCTCTGTCCTTGCTTATCTTTTTCTCTGCTTTAAGCACCTGACCCAGAAATGGGTAGGTTGCCAGTCATGCCTCCCATCAGCTAACGTGCCTGGTTAAAACTGCCCTCTGTAAAGGCTTCAGGTATGAATGACCCAGGAGTCTGGGCCTGGGGCTAACACGGGGATTTGTAGTATCTGCGGATTTTTTCTTTCCTGAGTCCTAAAAGATTCACTCAGCTCCACCACACTAAGTAATAGAAAAGGATTCAGTTCATTGAACAGGGTTCATTTTTGTCTTCTCAACAAGTTGGAATGAGTTCATCCACAACAGTTGTCCTGCTGTGGGTACATCACAAATCTGTTGCTTCTCTTTAAAAATGTCTCCTGGGTGATTTCATCAGTGCTGTTGCCGAGCCTATATTTAGCAACTGGAAATCATGCTCAGAAATTCTGTCATGCTTTTTAAAAAGGCCTACCCCTCCCTCCACACATGGCTGGTAATAGAACTTCATGCCCTGAGCAGGTAATGGAGCCTTCCTTGGGGGATTCCAAAACCTGCACTCCTGCTGCAGCCCAGGCTGCTGGCAAGGAAAGGATCTTTTGTGTTCTTTCTCATGTATTATTGCAAAACCGATTTTGTTCATGCATGCTAAAGCATCACCAGATGGATTTCTTTCCCCTGTAGGTAAACCCAGGGTGGGTATTGCACTTTAAATGTCAGTAAATGTGTTTTAGCTTCTGGGGCAAACCTTGTTGTCTACTCATTCTGTTCCTCCCAGCATAATGTATTAGGTTGTCATAAAGTAGGGCAAATTGAAGGCAGCGTAACTACAGCTGCTGAATAAATAGCAAATAATGAACTCTCCCTTGCTTTCCTTTTTATGCCAGGTGTTTTTCTACTGCTTGAATGAATACTAGTCAGTTTTAAAATCAGAGTAATCACTCACTTGCTGTGCTAAATGGGGGAAATTGTACCTACTCAGCCCCCACTAGGAAAATGCTCCCAACATGGCTAGGCCCTCAGGAGCAGAGGCCACAGCCTGGCTAGTAGCTGTGAATCTGTTCTTGCTCAATGTGTTCTCAGTGAAAATGAAGAACGAGGTTTTGATGCAGATTTCTCAAGCTCTGCAGAAGTGGTAGGACTAGTCTCAAACCGATTCTCAGTATTTGCTGCGAGGCAGAAACTCTTACCATGGCCCTCTTTGAGCAGGACACTTAAGACATCAGAAATGTTGGGAACCAGCAGTTAGCGTAATGGCTATGTCGTTGTACTCCCACGTAGTCAACCACGGTTCGCATCCCGGACCCGGTGGCTTAAAACTCATGCCGGGCACGTGTGTGTGCGTGCCCAAGATCCCGAGAGGAGAATGGAGGAGAAGGGATTGCGGCGTGACCATCCCCCCTGGGGGGTGATTTCTCACTTTCTGTCTCTATGTCTCTGTCTGTCTGGTGAGCGCACGCATCCTATAGTGAAAATCTCTCCAAAAAAAAGGCGTCAGAAATGTTCACAGACTATTATTAGTCTAGCAGTACTCCGATCTATACTACTACCAGAAAATGCTCAGAGACACACACCGTAAGACCCCACAGCCCAAAGGCTGGGAACCATCCCGAGGCATTTCTGCAAAACGCCAATATCCTTGTAGACCGAGATGTTTGGTCTCTCCTCCTAGGTCCCCGTGTCACTAGATACCTATCAGTTCTGGGAACTGAGTATGTGAGACGGGACCATGAGGAAGGGGCCAGGGAATAATAAGCCAGGGGGTTAACTACTGGTTGAGGCATGTGGTGTATCTTTAAGTCACTTAGCATTTCAGCACCGCTCACACTGAATATTTAATGCCTGAAAAATATCAGCTTTTCCACAAAAACCTCCACTTGGCTAGTTCATGTCACATAGTGAAGTTGCCATGTTACCACAAGCCATTCCTCTAATAATGTGTGTGTGTGTGTGTTTTCCCCAATAAGGATAACTTCAATAATCGGTTTATTTTGGTACACCATCGTTAGGACTCTTACATAATGCTTGGTCTGACTTCCAAGAAAGCTAATGTTTTGATGAAGCAAATGAAGTAATTTAATAAGTGCTTGAATATCTTGCTCTCATTTTATGTGGGAGAGAAGCTTAATCTGGTTTTCTTCCCCCTCCCCATATTCTGATGGTGTTTTTGATGAATATCAAAAAAATATTCATTTCTAAGCTTCCTTCTACAGTGTGTAATTTTAATATCTCTTATCCTTCTGAGTAAGGGTAATTTTTTGTCGATTTATGAAACAGAATGAATGTAATGCATGCACTATGGACCAGTTCCAGTTTCTGTGCATTTAAACACTTCTTAGGTTGGTGTATATACCACTGCCTCAAAGGCATTTGGGCCCTCGTTTTCCCTACTGTAGTGACCGAGGGATATACTTGGGGAGTGGAGGCAATTGCCTGTGATGGCACAGCAACTAGAAACAGTACTACTGAAAGCAGCAAGTTCTTTCTTTCATAGAAAAGTAGCTGTTAAGGGTCAGGTCTATGGCATCTCACACATTGTTCTCTAAGAGCATTAAATTCTACCTCGCATGCCAGTTACGAATCACATATTAGATGGGACTTGGGACTGAACTGAGCAATGGTATTAACTTAAATCTTTATGGAAATGCTGTAATCGCTAAGTGTGAAATTTCAAAGAAAGCAATATGATTATGACAAAAAAATGTTTAAATACCTGGGACTTTAAATAGACCAATAATAGGGCGAGCTGGTAGTTTGGTCGTTAAAGCATGGCTGACTGCGCAGTTGGAGCAGCAACCTGAGAAACCCTGGGCACGTGTGCGAGAGCATGGAGAAGGGACTGCCGTGTGGTCGTCCTGCAGGTGCTTTCTCACTTTCCCTCTCTCCACCCCTCCCTCCCTCTGGTGAGCTAAGGAATCCTTATTGCAGATTAAGAGAAAACATGACCAGTAGTGAAAACTCAATGATTTCGTTACCACTCATTTCAGCTTCACCTAAGTAGATGACCTAGTTCAAGGACTGGCAGACTTCCCAGAGGACCAGATAGATTTTAGACTTTGTAGGCCATATGGTCCCTGCTTTAACTGTTCAGCTCTGCCATTGTAGTTTTAGTGCGGCCAGACACACAGCTTAGGGTTGGGTGTGGCCTGCAGTTTGCTGACCCCCAGTATAATTCATAAGATCATAAATAACCTGAACGGTACCACATATCTTTGACTAAATTCAGAATGCTTCATCACATAATTGCCCATGAGCAATTTAATCTAGGTGTGGACTGAGTCCATCAAGTTAACAGAAATATAACTACCAGGGTTACTGTGTGCACCAAAGGCCCCCTCCCCCAGCACTGCTGAACTCGCCTTTACAGTGCAGGCTCCGCTCACAAGCTGAGAGTGGACACAAGCTGTGTGAAGCTTTTCAGAGGGCTAATCAGGTTGTGTAGGGGAAAGCGAAAGTGGGCTTATGTAAAGGCCGGAGAGCCTCTGCGTGTGACTAAACCACCAAGCATAAAGCTGACTGAAAAGTGCATCCTGGGACGAGCAGTTGGTGTAATGGCTATGTCGCTGGACTCCCACGTAGTTGACCGTGGTTCGCGTCCCGGACCCGGTGGCTTAAACTCACACCGGGCGTGTGTGCGTGCATGCCCAAGATCCCGAGAGGAGAATGGAGAAGGGATTGTGGTGTGGCCATCCCCCCCCGGGGGGGTGATTTCTCACTATCTCTCTCTGTCTGGCGGGCACACGCACCCTATAGCAAAAACTTCTCCAAAAAAAAAAGTGCATCCTAACCACAGTACCTGTGGGCACGACCAGGAAGTATTTGAAAGCTGTTGGTCACTTGGCTTGGGAACTGCACACAGTAGTTCCCAGAAATGGGTTTATTTCTGATTTCTCTATTTTGGTACCCCAAAGCTGTATATGTAATATTTTGACATTGTTTTCATTTTGGTTTTCAGGGGAGCCCTAGAAGCTTATGTCCAATCAGTGAGAAGTAGAGAAGGCAAAGAATTTGCACCAGTTTATCCCATAATGGTTCAGCTGCTTCAAAAAGCTCTGTCTGCTCTTCAGTAACTGTGAAGTCTCTGTAAATCTCCACTTTGTGATAATCCAGTCAAGAGTGGCAGTTAAGGGCACTATAAAGGAGAGCCATTGCTTTACAAGTGTTAATTGATTTTTCGCTATTTCCTCTTCAGCACTTCTAAGTAGCACAGCAAAAAATGTCAAAAGATTCATCATCATAGCCTTTAAATTCCATGGACCTGAATCTTCCAGAAAGATCCAACTCTTTTCCTCTTTCGTATTTTTGTAGAAACTAGCTAAAGTCCTTGCTCATCACATAACTGAGTCCCCCAGGATACACACAGTCACCATACTTTACAAAGGATATGATCAAGTCATGTAAGAACCTGCTTCATCCAGCCTGCCCTCTCTTCATTTATGTAGCCCAGTGTATCCCAAACTGGCTACATTCATGTCACTGGAAGGCATTTTTTTGGGTTTTTTTTGCTGTAGGGCACATGCGCTCACCAGAAAGACAGAGACAGAGAGACAGAAAGCAAGAAATCAGCCCCCAGGTGGGATGCCACGCCACAATCCCTTCTCCTCCATTCTCCTCCTGGGATCCTGGGCACGCATGCACGCCTGGTGTGTGTTTAAGCCACCGGGTCCAGGGCTCGAACCGTGGTTGACTGCATGGGAGTCCAGTGACATAGCCATTACACCAACTGCTGGTTTCATCACTGGAGGACTTTTAAAAATCCTGATGCCATGTTGTACCCCATCCTAACATATCTGAGAGTAAAAGCCAGGCATCAGTATTTTAAAAAAAAAAAATCCCTAAGGTGATTTCAATATAAAACAAAGTTTTAAGAACCATATAAGGCTAAATGTTATTTAAATATGTCATATTGTGTCCTTAAATAAAGCAAGGCTTTCAAGTTTACTCTTTGTCATTTTTATTAAAAGCGGACTTTTGGGACTGTTTAAACCTTGTAACAACAAAGATGCCAAGTTAATAAAAAACTTTTATTCTACAAAGACTCTCTATAGATAGATGATCTAAGTCATGTTTCTATCACCCTTGCACCACTAACATTTTTAATAACATTTTATTTAAAAATAATTTATTTTTATTTTTTATTTTTTTAGTATTTCTAGAGGGAGGAAAAATAGGAGGGAGTGGAAAGTGAGAAAGCAAGCCTCCAAGTCCAGGACTGGAACCAGTTGGCCATGTGGGAGTCCAGCACCCTTAACCACTATGCCACCTGCTGGCCCAACATTCTTTTATTAATAGATTTTTGCTATAGGGCATGCGAGCTCGCCAGAGAGAGAAAGACAGAGAGCAAGAAATCACTCCCTGCCATGGGAGGAATGGTCACACCTCAATCACTTCTGCTCCGTGCTCTTCTCAGGATTTGGGGCATGCACTCCATTCTCTCCTAAGGATTTTGGGCATGCACACAAACGCACCCAGTGTGAGTTTAAGTCACCAGGTTTGGGACTCTAACCGTCGCTGACTACATGAGAATCCAGTGACATAACCACTACACCATCTGCTGGTCCCAGCCCCAACAATTTTGTTTTTAATCCAACTTTTAAAATCCAATCAGTAATTTAGCAGTTATAAAACCAAAACAAGTCTCCTGAGTGTCAGACATTTACTGTATGTTTTCCATCTCCTAAACCTGATGCTTTGCCAACACATACATAAAATTCAGTAAGACCAATCAGCAGATATCAGAGATAAACAACTTTTTCTTTCATTTTATTTGAAATAATATACAAGAATATAGTGTGCAAAATTTAGGGGCAACATCATGAAGAAGTGTAATGAACTGAAATCAATTTTACGGCTGTGATTCCTAACCAGAAACACCACTTGGTAAGTAACATGAAAAGCCATGATTGTAGCTCAGAGCAAAAGCAGCTGTATTGCCAATGTATTTGCTCTAATTTTAGACAGTTGGAGGAAAAGTAAAGTGCAAGTGTTGCACTGCAATAAGTGCAAAGTCTGCCCCCACCATAAAGATACGATGACAAAATATATTTAAGATACGTGGCTGAGGAGATAATAGAACAAAGTTAAAAATACAATGGTGTCGACTGTTAATAGCACCATTACAGTGACTATATCCCAATGCTATTAACTAACTTTGCCTTGGCCTGGCCTAGGTTTCCACTGGAAATAACAAGTGGGTGCTGCCACCTGGTGGATAAACTCAGCATGCCCACGGGAATGGCAGCAGGTGGCTCTTTTGTCAGGACGACACCATCCACCTGCCACGTGTGGCCTCTTGGCACTGGCCAGACTAGGAGCGCCTGTGTTTGGCACTAATGCTGGGCCATGTGGTGGATGCTCAAGGAAAGGCCGACTCCAAGCTTCTGCTTCATTCCATCATGTGTACAATACAGATTAATAAGCAGGAAGGAGCCAATGTATAAACAGCAGTTACGTATTTTTAAATTCCCCTTTCGTACAATTTAAAATAAAACATGTATACACTTCTCCTCTCTTTCTACTGTACTTTAGCACCACAGGATATCAATTTTCAAGCCTATATTACCTGATAGACATATATGAAGTTTGGAAGAAAAATAAGGCAATTTGGTTTACAATGTTGATAGTTTTAGCTCACTTAATGCTCTAATGGAGAAAGCAATTCTTCACTCTTATTATTAAATCATTTCAAGACTCAATGCTATCAGTATCTCATGGTCACACGAATTCAGGACAAAAGGTGAGACCTTGATCTTAAGTCTTTCCAGAAGAGTCAATGTTTCTGCAAATACAAACTTAAGAACATAAGCATCCTGGTTTAATGTTGTTGCGAGCCCTGTGAAAATAAAAAATTAAATTCAGTGAATGTTTATAAATCAACACCATAATCCTACATATGAAAGCTAATGTTCATAAGTTTACTATTTAAGAAAAGACTGCTTTCTCAAAGGTAAGTTTAAATAAAGTTTGAGAGCTCGAGCATCCAGAAAGCTCATGAAATGATGAGAAATGGGGTACAGGTAAAGTCATACCACATGAACTAAATTACCAAAGCCCTTCCCAAATCCAGTTCAGCCACCTACTATTTGACCATACTTCTTTAAAAGAGATCCTAGAGAAATTTAAATAGCGATGACCTATCACTACAGAAAGCAGGCATAAATGCACAGGATGAATTTAAACATCCTGCCCCCCCCCACACTGCAAACTGACAACTTCATTTTTGAATAATACTTCACATTAAGCCCATTCTGTTCTATCATGTGACATTTTCTTGTAATTAATATAAAAACACTGAATTTAAAAGATGCCAGTCTAGTTAGAGAAGTTTTACAAAGCACAGCTATTCACAATCCATGTGACTATGGTGCCAACTTGTTTATTACTCTTCCTGGCCTGTTTCTTCTCCTTCCTCCTGAGGTTTTATTTTAGAAATTCTGTACTAAAGGCAGAAGTCTGCATCAAAGTTAACCTACCCCCAACACCTCTATCCTCATTAGCCCCTTCATCATTAAGGAAAGAAAAGTGGTTGAGACAAGCCACTGAAAACTAGAGAAACTGTCTACCTTGACATGAAAGGGTTACTAACACCCATCCTCAACCCAACTAGAAATACTACATTCCTGAACTATTATCCTACCTTAACGTTCAGGACAAACAATCCTTCTATGCTAGAGTAAATGGCACTTGGTGAAACAGCACGTCCTTATACTTTAATGTGCAAACATTATTAGAGTCTTAAATATAAAAATGCTAAGGAACAGCATCCACACCATCTTTCGAAGGTTTTACCAACTGTTGTGGCATGCCAGGGCACCTGTGGGCTAGGTAAGTAATTGTGAACTACTTGTCCAAACGTACTGAATTGGTTCTTTTCCTTTTCCAACAGTCAGGATTTAAACGTTTTTGTTCTTCAGCCAAAGCCTTTGCTTCTAATGTGTACATCCTTCTCTCTTCATTCTTCATTTTCTTCCACCTGTCACCCAGGATCACACTTATGGCTCTGTAAAATGTAAATACACAATGCTAAAGGCAAGAATTTTTCATAAAACTCACATCAAGTGCTCCTACTTGGGGAAGAAATGGAAAGTTTTAGAAAAGAAAAAAAAAATAAGACAAAAGTCTCATTTAACATAGAAAAGGGGGAAGGTGAAGGCTATCTCATAACCATTTCCGGTAAAATCCCAAGTCATCTGGTCCATTTGTCATAATCTTGCCAGTTAAAGCCACCTGGAATAGTACTAGCATTTCCTGGTAAAATTAAAGAACATCTAAAATATCTAGAAATCACATATTCTACAAACTTGAATCAGTTTATTTAACAAGAAAGGTTTAAAAATTACAAATGTATCTGTCCTGATAACCTTAGTTTATTTAAAAGATGTGTAAGAATTAAAGGCAGTGTGCAGTATCAGCACCATAAAGCACTCCCCTTGATGTTTTGCTATGTGTTTTTTATGAGGGGTCGGGGAGGAGAGCAACAGAGAGGCCGAGTCAGCCTGCCTGCAGTGCCTTCCGTGAACTAGGAGTACAGGTACGCAAGCCACGCCTGGCAGGTCAGGTTGACGTGGGAGCAGAACCCCAAGCCTCCCATGCAATCTCCGACCTCCCAGTTGGTGGTGCTGTGTGGGCTGCCTTATTCTAAAGGCTATTTTTATTTTTTGCTTGTATTTATGATAAATATCTGCCTTTAATTTGTACAACCACAGTAAAATGTGGCATTAATATGCATGCCCTACTGTTTAAGGTGAAACCAAGTACACTTTATTCGGTAGTATTCATACTTATCACTTAAGAAAACTGGATAAGCTCAAAGAGTAATGAGAAGTTAAACTGATAGAAATTTTAAACTTTTAAAAAATATTTTGTTAAGAATTATTTAATTTTTGTTATTATTATTGTTTTTAATATGACCAGAGTGGAGGTTAGCAAGAAAGCAAGCCACCAAGAAAGCAAGCCACCAAGTCTGGGACTCAAACTGCAGTCAGCCATGTGGGAGTCCAGCATCTTAACCACTGTATCACCTGCCACCCCCTTAAGCTGTTTCTTATTTATATTCATTACTATGTTACAAAACCTGCTAAAATACAGGGAGACTTCACAAAAATTCATGGGAAAAAAATGGAATTAAAGTACAACGTTTTTGAAATCCATGCATAATTTTTTCATACCACGAATAGCTTTTTTGTAGTATGCGTATTTCACCAATTATTTTGAAGACCCACATAGGACACATGACATAAACCACCTTTTTTTTGAATTTTATTTATTCATTTACTTATTTTAATTTGACCAGAGAGAGAGAAAATGAGAAAGCAAGCCACCAGGTCCAGGAATCGAACATGGTTGGCCATGGTGGAGTGTCCAGTGCCTTAACCATCACACCACCTGCTGCTGGTTCCCAATCACCTTCCGTTTATAGAGAGCTTTTAACCATTCATTTTACGATAGTCATAAAAGACAAAGTCCTGGGGTGATTACACAAAGTAGGTATAAATGATTTTATACTGATGCGGGAGCTAAACAATCATCCAAGCTTTACAAGTAGTGACCACCGAAGCTCTGCTACTTAAGAAGAAATTAAATAAGTAATAAGTATATTTGTCTTTTCATCCAGCAAGTTTTAGTGCTTGCTATGAGACTTTTATTAGAGAAACAATTTGAGAGACCAGCAGGTGGCATGCTGGTTAAGGTGCTGGACTCCCACATGGCAAACTGCTGTTCAAGTCCCGGACCTGGCAACTTGCTTTCTCACTTGCACTTCTCTCTCTGGTCAAATTAAATAATAAATAATAATAATAACAAATGAATAAAATTAAGTAATTCTTATAAAAAATGAAAACAACTTGGGGGCTAGCTGGAGTGATGTAATGGTTAAGGAGGCAGATCCTACAGGGCCAGCTGCACAGTTCAAGTCCCAGACCTGGTGGCTTAAAAACCAGGCGCATGTGCATACACACCCAAAATCTCAAAAGAATGGAGCAGACAGGGCTGCAGTGTGGCCAACCCTAAAGGGGATACTTTCTGACTTCCCCTCCCATTCTCTCTGGCCCTCTCATTCACTTTCTGGTAAGTGCACATGCCCTCTAGAAAATTAAAAACAACAAACAAAAAAACAAATATAGCTGTTTTGTCAAAGGTACCCTATAATTAGTTGACATGATTACCAGTTAAATAAATAAGGAATATTCATTCTCATACCACTTATAGATTACTCTTCAAATGAATATGAAATATTTTAAAAAGAGGTGGTTATGTGACACTTGAGAGTGAATTCCTTCTTTTTAAGATAAAAGATGGTGGCTAATGAAACATGCACAGTGATACAGACTATAATCTATCCCTTTCCATAATAATTTTAAAAGATACACATCACCTAGGATGGTTTTTGCAATGAAGTTTACATCTAGATCAACATTCATACCAATCTGAAATAAGTGATGTCGTATCTCTCACCTTTCTAGTCTCCATTCCCTTACAGTGTGCCCCTAAGGAGAACGTCATCCATTACACTGAGACATCTCTTTATTAGAGAGAGGGAAAAGTGCCAAGTTCAAAATTATATATGCTTTTCCCCATTCAGGTTAGGAAGAGGGATATCGGAGATCCCTCCATGTTGGCTGATTACCAATATAGTCACAACATGAGAGCAATGGTAAAATGCAAACAAAAGTACTTAAGGCTAAAATGAGATAAACTGCTGTAATTAGGATAGTCCAATTTTGCAGAATTGTAAACAAACCCAGACTGTATCCTTACTGACACCGTCAACTGTTGGGGGAAGACGTTATTAATGTAGTGTAGGGACAGGAATCCTATTTCTAGATGTGAAAGGGCATGTTAATTAAATACTGGAAACGTACAAAAAGAAACATCGCCCAGCAATGCCCCTCAATCTCTAAGGCTGGAAAAAAAATTACGGGGGAGAGGTATAAATTTAAAGTATATTTTTTATGAGACTATCATATACTAGTTACCAGAGAAGTAAACATCCAAAAAAATTTTAAAAGAAAAACAATTCAATTAAATCCACTGTTTTTAATGATGAAGAAATGGAAGGTTTGGGGAACTTTATTGTTAAAGTGTTGAAAAGGCCCTTAGAATTCTTGACTCTCTATTTCTGTACTTAGGAATCTAAATAAATAACCAGAAACTAGAACAAATCTATTAATTAAAGTGTTACCTGTAATTTTTTTTGAGAGAGACTTTTGCTATCGAGCACGTGCACTCGCTGGAGAGACAAAGTGACAGAGAGAAAGAAAATGAGAAATCACCCCCGGGGGCGGTGGCCACACTACAATCTCTTTTCCATTCTCCTCTCAGGATTTTGGGCATGCATGTACATGCACCCAATATGAGTGTTAAGCCACCAGGTCCAGGACGTGAACCTTGATTGACTAAATGGGAGTGCAGCAAGGTAACCATTATGCCATCTGCTGGTCCCACCTATAATATACTTTTTTGTCAGAGATGCATTTGAGGTGAGAATTTACAACATTACTATGTGGATAATAAACAATTAACTTTTTTCATATCATGGATAGAAGTGACAGTGTTGATCCTCAGAGAATTAAGAAGACTTAGAAGGAGGCAACTTTAATACAGTCACTCAACTTACCATGGGCTTATTATGTCCCAATAAACCTGTCATAAGTTGCAATATCATCAAGTCAAAAATGCATTTAACACATCTAACCTACCAAACATGATAGCTTAGCTTAGCCTATCTTAAATGTACTCAGAACACTTAGATTAGCCTATAGTTGGGAAAAATCACCTGACACAAGCCTATTTTATAATCAAGTGCTGAATCTCTTGTGTTAATTTATTGACTACTCAAAGCGAAAAGACAGAATGGTTATATGGGTACTCCAAGTATGGTTTCTACTGAGTGCACATCCCTTTCACACCAGTGTAAAGCTGAAAAAGCCTAAGTTGGGGACCAGCTGTACATGAAGAACTTGACTGGTCTGATAGGGAGCAAGTGGTAGAGGACTCTGAGATGAGAAAGGAAACAAAGCAGGGAAGACTTGAGTTCATTTTTGCCCTGAGCTCTAGTGAGGAAGTAAGCCACCAGATTTGTCAAAGTTACCATTTTGATCAATCTAGTGGCTTCGTACAAATTCCCACTACCCGCACACTGTCAACTGTTAGAACTTGGTGCTCTGACAAGTAAATAACATTTAGTAGTACGTTAATAGGTAGATACTAAAGATAACCCAATTAAATATTATAAAATAGACATGACCCTAAAAATTAAAGTCAACCTAAGAAACAGAATTTTACAAAAGCTATATAGATTTACTTAACTATTTTCGTTATTGTAAACTACACTTGAAGTATTAATCAATTATTATAGTTATCACATTTTTACCTGTTATCTTTCCCTGGATACATCTGAGTATATTCAACTCTGTATTTTTTGGCAAAAAGCATGAAGGCATTCATTGGTCTTTTGCACCTATTAGGAGAAGTGGCACTCACAGTCCCTGAGCTGTGGTTTTTGACAGCTTTAGCATATAAAGAACTGGAAGAGAGCTGTGATGATCCAGGTGAACCACAGTTCTTACTGAATCCAGATCTTGCAAAGTCTTGACCACCAGGTCCACCACAAGACAAAGATGCACGACGCTGGCGAGCCATACTACTTAACACATAAACTGCAGAAGAATCCATAGGTGTGAAGTCATAGCTATAAAAACAAAAAAAAGGAAGTTAATAAAGTTTCAATTTAAATTATCCAATTTCCAAAAACAAGATTAAAAAAAAGGTTACTGCCTGATTAAAATTTTCACTGTATTTTCTCTATCTAATGTTACCAACACTAACAACTTTTGCCATTAATAGTTGCTTGTAAGATTACACCTTATGTGTGCATTGACTAAAAATTTTTTTTTACAAAACCTTAGCTAATACAAAAAGTAAACAAAATACAAAACTACGATACCCCCACCCCAAAAGGAATCTGTTACAATTAGCCTACTTTACTCATAAAAAGACAGGCCTGCGTGTCTCACAAACCCATTTATTCTCTCTTTAGATTCACTTTTTGACGGATTTGACAATCTGATTTCTTGGCCTACAAGAGCCTAGATCTAGGAAATAAAAATGGAGTGACAGGTAAATACTTGGCCTAAGAACCAAATATTAGAGAGGACGAAAGGTGAGATAAGGGCAGCACAAACAGGTTATATGTGGTTAAAAGAACTGAGAATGCACAGAAATCGGTGTCATTTGTTTGGGTGAAATCATACATATGCCACACCTAAAAGGCCACGTGTGCTGTAACATAGCCTAACAAGAGTTCACAGTAAAAGAGGCCTATTTTGTTCTACATGTTCCATTTATACAGTCGGAGAAACCTAGCCTTTTATCCTCATTTCTTCAACAAGCCTTGCTGGAAGGGAATTATCACCCTCTTACAGGTGAAGAGACATGCTAAGAAAGGGAAAGCACTATTCACCCAAGACCACACTGCAGCAACCAAACCGGTGTCTGTTCACCTACGGAGCCCCGGGTTTCTCACCGACATGACTCCGTGTCATCGGCTAAACTCAAGGTAAGTAAATGATAACTGCATTAACTGAAAATTATCTGCTAAAAATTAGAACTAACATATACCACACTGTCAATAAAATTCTCTTTGTTCCATGTTAACTACTTCTGTTTATACTTTGTGTCTTCTGGGCAAAAAAACCCTTTTACTCAGATTTTATTTTGAAGCCAGCTCCTACTTCTCTCCCTTGAAACAGAAATTCTGGTAACATAACAAAATAGGTTGATATGAGCCACAAGAATAGCATCTGCCTAAACATAAACATATAAAAGTAATGAGATACTCTACAGACAGATGGAAAAAACTTAACAAAGAGGCCCGTGCCATTTACCACACACACAGTTAAGGAGGACTTCTACCAAATATCAACTAGTGTCTTTTTTTTAACTGTATTTCATGAGACAAATTAATTTAAAACTTTTGACTCCAAAATTATCTAATGAATGTTTAAGCAATCGGTGAATTATGCCAAAAAAACAATTCCTGTTTTCTAGCTAACTAACTTTTATAAAATACCCTAAGCCACTCCGGGACATTACTTACAAACAAACAAAAACCTAAGCACTATAAATGAATCTAATACAAAATTATTAATTAATCTCCAAAAAGGAAAATATGTAATCACAATTTTAAATACTAAAAGTTATACACAGGGTAAGCTAATTACAAAAATTTGAAAACTCTACCATCTGGTGGCACAAATAATTATCACCTATTTTCATTATGGATACAATTTAAATCAGTCAACATACTGCATGATTATAATATGATATAAAGTATCTTAAAATTAGCTTAATCTTTTCCTACACCGCCTCAGGTAAGTATTCACTCACTTCACTAAACCCCAGAGTTCTTTGTTTCACACCTCCTCTTTTTCTCCCTGTTACTCCCTAAGATTAAACTGTCCTTTCTCACCTGTACTAATCTTCACCTCAAAGGCAAACTCCACAATAATGTAATATGTATTAACCATATCACATATTAACACTGAACCTTTCCAACAATTCCCCACTTTACAGACTTTTCTGGTATTGCCAGGATGTGTGTGCACACACGCAACATTAGAGACAGACGGACAAAGAGCATCCCCCAAAGAAAGCATCCCGCAATGGGATATGGTCATGCCACAGTCTTTTTAGTTCCATTCCTCCTTCCCATCAGGGCACATACTCAATGTACCTGGCATATTCTTAAGCCACTGGCCAGGATTCGTACTGTGGTAGGCCACGTGGGATCCAGCACCATAAGGACAGACAGCACTTTGCCACTGTGCTACTGGGCCAGCCCCAGAATTTTTTTTTTTAAGCCACAAAAAGGTTAACTGATTTATCCAAGCTTCCACAGCATATCTGCAGAACCAGACAGTCCAGCTTCAGAGCTCACAGTCCTACCAGGCTACACTGCCACACAGTGGCACATAACCACACTGCACACATTTGCTAATGTACTTACTTTTCTAGACTGGATGCAAAAAGGCATGCCCCTGCCTTACCTCACTTTTTATTTAGTCCTGCAAGACGTAACTGTGTAAAAATTTTAAGTGGGTTCAAATCTCAGTTCTGTCACTTACTAGTACTATGAACTTGGTCACGTTCAATAAACCATCTAAGTTTAGTTTATGTATAAGTTAGTTTAGTTATCTATAAAATAACGGTAATAAATGCCATGCAGTGTTGCTGAAAGAACAATACCTATGAAAGACTAGGTCAGACGCTGGCCCACAGCAATGCTCAAGTAAGGGCATCTATTATTACTGTAGAAATAGCTTAAGCTAGGGAATAGTACTAACTTTGGAATCTATACAAGGTAGAAGGCTTGAATCCTAATTCTGACACTAACTGGGCTTATTTGGGCATGTTCTTTAATGTCTCTGCTCTTAGTCTTCTAAAATGAGGATATAATCTAACAGATAATGAGGATTAAAGTAATGTATGTCCAGTACCGTGCACATGTAGGTTCTTGGGAAGTTTCTTACTCGAACAGAAACATCAACTTCACACAGTCAAAAGTGACTGCTTTAAGCCTGTGTCAGGCCTAGAAGGTAGGTCTCAATTTCCGAAGTCTCAGAATGGGCTTTTTTAAATCATGCTCACTTGGAAGCTTGCTTCCTGCAATAGCATCTCAAATCATGTTTAAGAGTCTCAAATCGTGTTTAAGAGCACATAATTTACTGTTGACTGATTCTTTCTGAAACTTCTTTCATTCAGAAACTTCTCAAATGTCCTTCCCTGCAAGTCATGACCCAAGAGCTTGCCCAAAATCCCAAGTGTACTTGGGAAATCATTCTGATGTTCCCTCCTGGACCGAGTATGTTTCTTCCTGCCTTTCTCTTGCTTCACACCCTCCATTATCTCCCTTAACCCCTAAGACCTAATCCAATCAACAATGATAATTTAGTCAACTTCAAGCTTCTCAAACTTTTTCATGGTTTGGGAACCAGCAGTTAGTGTAATGGCTATGTCGCTGGACTCCCACGTAGTCGACCGTGGTTCACGTCCCAGACCCGGTGGCTTAAAACTCACGCAGGGCATGTGTGTGTACGTGCCCAAGATCCCGAGAGGAGAATGGAGGAGAAGGGACTGTGGCGTGACCATCTCCCCTGGGGGGTGATTTCTCGCTTTCTGTCTCTATGTCTCTCTCTGTCTGTCTGGCGAGCGCACGCGCCCTATAGCAAAAACCTCTCCAAAAAATAAAAAAAACTTTTTCATGGTTTTTCCCTACATGAAAATGCTCATTTCTACTCCTCTGCAGGAAGGGAAAAAGAGGGTGTTGTTGTTATACTGAAATCACTCAACAGTAAAACGAGACCACTGACCAAGGCCATCTGGAGAGTGACTGTTACTCAAGTGGGACAACTGATGAGAATTTGGCCCTCTGAGAAAAACAGGAACTAAGCAGCCAAGTTTTCCCTTCTACTTTAAAAAGCAAAGTTTGTACTATCCAGTACCCAATACATATAAAAGTTTGTATATAACTTATAGATAAGCTACATATAGCATGTACATAAATACTAATGACCCCACAATACAAATTAAGAAGCAAAATATTTCTGGACTAGCAAGTGGCATGGTGGTCAAAGGCGCTGGACTCCCACGTGGCCGACAATGGTTCAAGTTTTGGACCTGGTGGCTTGCTTTCTCACTTTCCCTCTCTCTGTCTCTCTCTGATCAAACTGGAAAATAATAAGTTAAATAAAATAATTCTTTTAAAAAAAAGAAACAAAATATTTCTAATATCATTAAAGATCATTTGCCACTCCGAGAAATGACCAATCTCCTATATGGTTTATTATTTCCTTTCTCAATATTATGAAAATAACATATGAAATATAAATACCATCATGGCATTATTTATATTAATATTTATTAGTTAACATATAATATATTCTGTACAGAAAAGACTTAGCATAGCAAGCCTGACTGCTATTTTTCCAAAGGTTTACTTATAAGATTTTGGCCCTTGGCTGGCATCCAGAACTTGGATTTTGGGGAGTTCTAATCATTCCCACAACTAATAAGCGGCTTACTGTGTATACAAATAACCCAGTTCACCCTGAATACCCACTTACCTTTTGCAAGTTTGAAACTGTGGTACACCAGGACTCAATGAAAATTGTGTGTGCTGAGTGTCTAACAAATTTCCCTGATAGACGAATTTCATGTATGTTATTCCAACTCACTGCCAGGGTAACTAAGTGTGTCCTTGATGGCTCCACTGGAGGAGGATCCCTAGAAGCCTCGCTGGCCACAGACTCTACCTCATATCTTTCCCTTTCCTGATTTTGCTCTGCGTCCTCTTTCACATGGTCAATCAAAGCCATGAGCACAACCACATGCTCAATCTTGAGTCGTCCCAGCAAATTACAGATCCTGGGAATAGTCACAGGTACTTCGGAGTCGAACCACAGTCAACTATGTGGGAGTCCAGCAATGTAACCATTACACCATCTGCTGTTCCCACATTAGAGTTTTAAAGTTTCAATTATTTTAATCATGACAGAGAGCACATGCAAGATATGTATGTATATATACATATACAGAGAGAAAGAGAGAAGTGCCCGTGACAGGGTCTCTCCAAATCCCCTTCTCACAGCCCTTCACACTGTCATGATCGCAGGCATGTGTGAAAGTGCTCAGCATGTTTTCAGGTTGACCCAGGGATCCAAACCCACCACTGGCCACATGGCCTGCAGCAATGCAGTTCAGTTTGCTACAGACTGCACCACGTGACTAGGCATATTGGATATATTATTAAAGAACAAAATTTCATAAAAAATCAAATCATACTGTATATTTTTAGATGAACTCTTATTAATATTGCTAAAGGTTCATTTATTTTTCCACTAATAAAAAGATTTGCAGTACATAAATACATTGCAATTTTTGTAAGCACTCTCCCATTAATAGGTATTAATACTGTTTCCATGTTTGTGCTCTTATGAGCAACAGTTATGAACTTATTTACATATCTCCTTCAACATATCTGTAACAATTTACTTCTCTAATGTATAAATCACAGAGGAATGCAACTGCTAAGACTCATCTCTACAACATAAAGTCCAATTCTCTTCCAAAATCTATCTAATAACACTTCGCCAAAACATCTGACGGTCACTGAACTCTATCCCAGGAATACTTAAAATTACCAGTCCTTAAAACTGTCTTGGGGCTGGCAGGTGGCATGGTAGTTAAGGTGTTGGACTCCCACATGGCCAACCATGGTTTGAGTCCCAGATCAAGCTTGGTTTCTTTCTCATTCCCCCCCCCTCTAGTCAAATTAATAATAATAATAATAATTCTTTAAAAAAAAAAAACTTTTGTCTTACTTTTTTATAGTTTCTCAAAGAAGAACATCCAGGAGAGATGAAATTAAACTGTTTAGATCCTACCCTCATAAGACATGTGGCCTGCGCCAAGCCCTACACTGGGCTCACTTATCCTGACTATATAAAACACGTCTTTGTAGTTAAATATATGAAATTCAATCTTTAGACCTGCATAAGTCTGGAGAATATTCTACATAGTACCCATACATGCCTATGGGTTTGATAAGTATCTTTCAGAAAAAAATTAGTCTAAAATCACAGATATCTAAATGCTGGCTTTCTCTGAGTAGCTTTTGGATATGGGGTGACTAATTGCCCCAATTTTTACAGGACTAAGAGGTTTTCAGTGATGCTGTCTTTTTGGTGCTAAAACTGGAAAAGTCCCATATGAAGTGGGAAAGTTGGTTATAGCCTTCTTGAGACTCAGGACACATGGGTTCTTATCCTATTCTGCCACTTACTAACCAGGTGATTTCAGGAAAAACTACTTCCTTCTCTCAATCTTTTGAAATATCAGATTTTTTTGTTATATGCTGGTAAAACCATACAACTAATGTTCTTGAGTCAAAATAAACATTAAATGAAAATAGTTAACTACCAAAAACAAAAAAAATTAGTTAACTACAAAATCACTACAAATAGATTTATGGCCAGGGTAACCAGTGACATGGTGCTTAGGGCAGCTGGATTCAATGTGACTGACTATGCAGTTCAAGCCCCATACTCAACAGCTTGAAAAACACCCAAAATTTTGGGCATGTATACACACATGTGCAAAAGTTCCAACAATGGAGAAGAAGAGATTTGCAGTGTGACTGTCTCCTATGGGGGTGCTTTCTCACGTTCTTTCTCTCTCTGGCAAGCACAGACAACCTCCAGCAATTTAAAGAAAAAAAAAAAAGAAAGAAAGAAAGATGGGACCAGCAGTTAGCATAATGGCTACATCATTGAACTCCCATGTAGTCGATCGCGGACCGAGTCCCGGACCTGGTGGCTTAAACTCACGCTGGGCAGGTGTGTGTGCATGCCCAAGATCCCCAGAGAATGGAGAAGGGATTGCAGCGTGGCCATTCCCCCTGGGGGGGGGTGTGATTTCTCACTTTCTATCTCTCTGTCTCTGTCTTTCTGGCAAGCACATGCGCCCTATAGCAAAAACCTCTTAAAAAAAAAAAAAAAAGAAACTGTCCAGATACAACATTTTTTCCTATATTCTATCAAAGCTGATATATTAATCTCTTGGTCATATAACATGCAATATTCTTCCTAAGTTAATCCTAAATGTTTTATAAACTCACTTTTCCTATGTGACTAGACGAAACTCCTCGCTAGCTATTATTTTACTTTAGTTATCTGATTTTTTTTTCATTTAATCATATTTCTCTAAGTAGTTCTTTTATTATTCTCAGATCTTTAAAGGTCTGCCTCCAAAATATTTGACTCAGCAATCATTAGGGAACTTAAGAGTAAACTTTAACAAGAAAAAAAATAATAATAATTAGCTCAGTATTACCTTTTAAATGTATCAAAAACACCTGAATCATCAAAATTAATGGCATCGGGGTGTCCAGGAGGTAGACATACATCACCAATATGGATTTCACAACATGGAATGCCATGCTGTACCACAGTCAAGCTTGGATAAAAGGATGACCAACCTAAAATTAAACAATAATTGCATAAGGATGAGGACTACCAGAAAATACCCTAATTATTTCATAATGGTCATATATATTTCTCTCACATAAAAATAAAAAGTTATCACTTAAGAGTAAGTCTCAAGAGGTTTTCTAACACAAATCACGTATTTTTGTTATGAAGCAGTGCTATTTCCCTTTGGCAATGTAAAACCCCTCTAAAACTAGTTTCATTCAGCATTTGATTAATATATAGATCTCTATCATCAGCTCTTCCACACTCCACAAGATAGTGATAAATGATGACCAAGACCATGAAATAATCTCTGAATTATTAAATTATGTTTAACATGGTGTTCCAGTTTATAGTATACTTGGTACCAGAATGTCCATTGCCCAAACTATACCAAGACAACAGATAGCTTTTTATAGAATGCTACAATCTAAAAATTTCTCACATTCACAGGAAGGAGAATTCCATCAGACTACTAAGATACTTAAGCATCATGAAGTATTATTATTAGCATTTCCTATGACAGTTTTAGTTTGAAAGAAATTTTCCCTTTACTTTGTTTTCTTAATGATCAAAGCCAAAAAACATAATTATAGATTCAAGAAGTTTTCTTTAAAAAGTTACTACAAATTCAAATGAAGCCCTACCTTTATTTTTAACATAGAAAGGGTGGTCCAGCTTACACTCTATGGGAAGTAAACCATCTTCTACTGTACCAGGATCAAAAGTCAACTTCAGTACAGACTCGCCAAATGATACACTTTCTTCATGTGATAACAACTTTAGACCATCAGAACCATAGCCCTGAAAATATATGCATAGAGTGAATGAATTGGAAACGTTCAATTCAACTGACAAAGCTCCCATTATGTGTTAAGACTTTGTGGAAATGATAAAAATAACCAAGATAGGATCTCTGTTTTTATTTTCAACCCAGTAATGAAAAAAGACACACATACAAAGACTAGACCAGAATAAGCACTTTATGAAGTATAAATAAGGCTGATGAAATTTAATAAGGGTACATATTAATTCCTAAAGAGGGACATTAGGAAGGAGTTTCAATTCCCATTTGATCTGGGATTTAGAAGAAGAAGATTTATAAAAGAAGAAAAACATGGTTTGCATTAGGAATAGCTATAACAACTTATTTGATGAATGCTGAGTATATGCAAAAAATACAGGGTGAGTTTCGATTGGGGTAAGGCTGAAAAGGAAAAGCTACTTAGTTAAAGGATCTTAAAGTCAAGCAAAGTGCCTAAAGTTTGCTTAGAAGGCATCGTGAGGTCAATGAAAATATTTTTACAAATATAATAGTCAATTTTAAGACGATGACGACTGCAGAATAAGGAGGGCCCTCATTATTTGTTTACTAAAGAATGAAATACAGTTATTACCATCCTGAATTAACAAAGGCATTTTAGGACATACAAGACAATAGGCTCTAAAAATAAAAAAGCAAAAAAATAAAAAGAATAAGACATGATCCTTGCCCTTAAATTCACCAAAAACAAACAAAAACACAAAGGAGACCAACATGCCAACAGGTAAGTATAGTATCCAATCATTACTGTACTACTGCATGAGCAAAATAATGAACAAGCAAGAAAGATGAGTGTTAAAAATCTTCATGAAAATAGTATCAACAACATATGAATGGAGGAGAGGAACTAGTAAAATTTCATAGTGTGGAGCCTAATAATCAGGAAAGATAGTACCCTTAGCTTAAGTAGGGCTCTGCTCTGAATGCTGGAGCCAAACAGATTCAGATCCTGGACAGACCTGCAACTCACCAATCAAGTGTGAACTGCAGGGGTAGGAGGCAGGGTGAGGAATACAGTGGTAGGGGCCCAGTGGCAGGGTGGGGACTATGGTATGATGAGAACCTGCCAAGGATGCCTAGCTCCTTTTCTCTTAGGAAAAAAGAATAGAATTACAGTATCTTCCAATTCTTACAGCTGTATGAGACCTAAAATGAACCTAATTTCTTTACAGAGCACAGAGCAAATACCCAAAGGTGTAAACAATCTTCCTAAGTAAGGTCAGTCACACAAACAGTTGCTGGAAGAGCTAGAAAAGGAGTCCAGGTTTCCTGGCTCCAAGCCCAGAATGCCTTCCACAGAACACTATGGAGGTTGACATTAGCAGGAAAGGGGAACTGGCAAAGAGAGTCAAGAGGGGCAGAATTCTGTCACATTCAACAGTGGCTAACAGCCACTCCTATGGAAGTGCCATGCTCCACAAAATCGGGAGAAGACAATGTGAGGAACTAACCCATCTGTGAAATGTTGCAGAGATGTCAAAGAAAACAAGCAGAAGTCTCTGGTCCCAGAAATTAGAACAAAGCTAATAATCCCTGAGACAATCTAAGTAGTAAAGGCCAAAAACTACTGTGAACCTGACTAGAAGACAGGGTAAACAATTAGGGGAGAACCAAAGACAGCCAAATCGGGAGAGTTTTTCTCAACAGACTCAACAAGAGACTGCAGAATTAAAAAGAACTTAAGCGAGCACAATGCACATGCCCACCTTCTCTGACAATAGTGGAGATGGAGACATAAAAGATTTCAAAGTGAAAGGTGTTAACCAATATTGATCCTAATGTTACTTACTTACTACTTTTTGCTTATCAACCTAGAAAATGTTAGTCATTTAAAAAGTAACAATGTGATCGACTCAATTATCTACACGGTAATTATTAGATCACCTAAGATAAGGCTATGGTTTATTTATTCATTACTTATTTTTAATGATATTTTTGTTTTCCCCAATACATAAAACATAAAACACAAAAAAAGTGCTAAGAAATATTTTTTTTCCAATACAAAAAGTACAGGAAGTGAGCCTGGCAGGTTGCATGGTGGTTAAAGTGCTGGACTCCCACATGGATGACCACATTTCGAGTCTCGGATGTGGCGGCTTGTTTTCTCACTTTCTCTCTCTGTCTCTCTCTAGCTCTCTTGGGCCAAATTAAAAAATAATAATAAATAAAATAAATTCTTTAAAAAATATGTATAGGAAGCAAAGCCTGAAATCACTGCTTCTCTCCATCCAACTAAGCAACAAGTGGTCATAAATCCTCTACTTAAATATGAAAGTAAATGTAAGATATTCTTGTAGATTAAGAACAACAAAACCTTTGTTTCATTTTAAAAACCTTCAAAATGTTATAAAAATTTTAAGTCAACCTTGTGAGTGCCCATGTGAAGATCGTCCTCAGTATCACAGCCTTCAGCTCTAGCAAATTCTTCCACATCTTGCCACTCCTTATTGCTTCCCTTATGAAAGCATAGTCGTGTGCCTAAAGTTTAAGAAGAAAACAAAAATGAGACATGTGACTAGTGTGCTACACAACCTGTCAAAAATTCAAAAAATAATAATTTTACTTAAGTTTATTTACTCATTTACTTATTTTAATTTGACCAGAGGGACAGAGCGAGAGTGAGAGGGAAAGCAAAAAAAAAGCAAACCACCAGGCAGGTCTGGGACTTGAACTGCAGTAGGCCATGTGGAGTCCAGCGTCCTCAAACACCAAGCCACCTGCTGGACCCTCAAGTATGTTTTCTTTACCATTTTTTTAAAAATATTTTTGAGAGAGACTTTTGCTATAGGGTGTGTGCACTTGCTGGACAGAGAGACAAGACAGAGAAATCACCCCTCAGAGGGGATGGCCACGCCGCAATCCCTTCTCCTCCATTCTCCTCTGGGGATCTTGGACAAGCACACACAAGCCTGGAATGAATCTTAAGCTGCCAGGTCTAGGACTTGAACCGCAGTCAACTACATAGAAGTCCAATGACATAAACATTATGCCATCTGCTTGTCCTATTTTCTTTACCTTTTAAAAAACAGTGCCACACAGTTGAAGGCCAGGAGTTACACCATCCCAGGTCATCATCATCTGACAGGGAGGACATGCAGAAAATGCCAGATTCGGACTCACTATTTGCCTATGAAAAAAATATAAACATTTTGTTTTGTTAATGTATCTTCTTTTTTTAATTGCCCAAGGATGTGTGAGCTTATCACAGAGATAGAAAGGGAAGGAGAGAGAGAAACCACCCCCTCAGTGGGGCTTTCTCTGTTCCCACCACAATCTCTTTCCTCCATTTCTCTTTCAAATCAAGATTTTGGACATGCACACATGCACACACACATAGTGTATTTTTCAAGTCACCAGGGCTGGTATTCAAACCATGGTCAGTCATGTGAGATCAGGCTCCCAATGCACTGCACTTAACCATTAATATGAGGCTGGCCTGCTGACACATCTTTTTAACTTAATCCTTCAGGCTCATGCTTATTATTATAAAACTTAGTCATCACTTAGGAAAAATTCAAGGCTTTCAAAACCTATTTGAAGTTTTAGTTAAATGCACATTCCCACTCTGCAATAAATTTTCCTCTTAATACAGATGTACATAAAATCAAATCTGGATGACTAAAAGAACATTCAGACATTCTACTTCCCATCTGCATGTGCTTCGGAAGAATTTCTTAGGCTAAGTTACTGTATTTTAACTGATGAGCAAACTTTGTAAAAGTTTAACTCATTTTGAATAAACTCACCCTTTCATGTCTTACTGGTGTTTCTTCCTTCCAGTGGTGATGAGAGAAGGCTGGTTCACTCTTTGAAGATGACGACACTGGTGGAGGGCGGGCATAGGAATGTAAACTTTTGCTAGTAGCTATGATGTGTACAGGAGATGATCTAAAATAAAGCAACAGTATTGACTTTAAAGCATAAAGCTTGAAAGCAGATCCTTTTGATGAAAAATATGCATATTCAAAATGGCATTATTATACCATTTATAGCTATGATAAGCACTAATAAAGACGAGATCTTGTTTTTAATATGCTGCTCCTTAACTCGACTTCTTACCCAAACCTTCCTTACATATTTTAAAGTTTTTTTAATATTTGACAATGTATTTTAAATTACCACTAACTTTATTTATTGCATTCATTTTTGTATTGCAATGTATATATCTTCATGCATAAAAGATAACACCTCTTGTGCAGGAAGGTCCCCCTATTCATTTCTTTCTTCTACTTTGAAGTACTCAAAACACTTCAGTATGAACAGAACATGTAAGCTTAATGTGACCAACACTGACCTCTTTCCCAATCATGTATATCCTTGGGCAGACACAATGAACTACCTTAAGCTAAAATGGTTAAACTTCTTATAGCCAAAAAGCAGCCTATTAGCCATTCCATAAAAACAACTATACATATGGTCTTATTTTCTCCATGGATCACCTTAAAAAACCCTTACCCCTTCCCCTGATAATCATTTTTAACAGGCACTGCCCTCCCTTTAGAGGGTACAGAGCTCTCAAAAAAACATCAAGATCCTGCCCTCAAAAGCAGACCAGATATTCATGGGTGGGAAACAGCAAGAAACAAGCCTATAAAGGGTGATTAGTAATGTATACAGACTCTGAGTCAGGACAGGAAGCAGAGTGGAAGACAGCAAAATTTACATAGGAAAGCCATCTGAGGGTCCCAGATCAGGGTAATTCTGAGATACCAAACAGGGATTTGATCCTAACAAGACAACTTTATGCATGTTTACAATACCTGCTTTTTCAAAAAGGAGGGAGAAACGACTCTCCAAAACTTTTTATTTCCTGAGAAATTTTATTAGCCTCTCAATTTTTACATGCTGAGTATTTCATCCTAGCCCAAATAATTTCTTTTATATTTTTATATATGAAGTATACGAGAATGGCTAATCTGCTAAAACTTCTTGTTCATCCTTGACTTCCTTACTCATAAAAGTGAGTTTTACCACTTCTTCTGTTTAACCACTTAGAACAGAATAATCTGATGTTCTAAAATGTGTATGACCTAAAGTATTCTGTGAAAATCAACATGCTTACCATGTCTAAACACGAATATCATCAGTTATTTCATCACTCTGTGCAAGGATAACAGAAATTTGACCTGTCTTCTATCTCTTGATACTTTACGACTAAAGACAAGTGTTAGAATGCAGGCAAAACAACAGAGAATTGTATCTTTATGATGGAGGAAGAACAGAAATGCTACAGAGAACAAAGCTACATCTTCAGGGAGGCACTCTTTACTTGTGTCTTTCTCTACACTTATTTTTTATTAACTCACTTTCTGTGATCTAAATCTCCATGACTTTGCTGTAATAAATGAAAACTATCATCTCTAAAATAGAACTGGGTAAAAAAAAAAAGACAATAGTAAATCAGGATTTGTTGGTTTTTCTAAAAATGTAAAGAAGAATTTTTACCTTTGTGACTATTAAGATTACAATGAAAACTACAAGTATAAAGAAAATAATACTCTGGGGGCCAGCAGATGGCATAATGATTGTGTTGCTGGACTCCCAAGTAGCTGACCACAGTTCAAGTCCTGGACCCGGTGACTTAAAACTCATGCCTGGTGCATGTGCGGGCCTGCCCAAGATCCCAAGAAGAGAATGGATTGCAGTGTGGCCCACCCCCCGGGGAGATTTCTCACTTTCTATCTCTCTTTCTCTCCGGTGAGTGCATGCACCCTTTAGTAAAAAATCTCTCTTAAAAAAAAAAAAAGAAAAAGAAAGAAAACAAAGTTTTCTTTCCTGTGGAAATTTACATGTAATTAAACTGAAAGTTAATAACGTAGCTGAATTTCTTCTAATCAAGACCATTATCTTGCTAAATACTGAGTTGTCAGAAAAAATCATGACACATTTTTACATAGAAAAAAATACATCATGACTTTTCCAACAACCCAGTAGAAGAAAAGCAGTGTAACTTAATGAGGTGAAATAAAACCGGGATTTCATACGTTAAAAAGCGTATTCTTTGGCAAAGCATTTTACTAATTTAGGACCGCTACCAAGTTCAACCTTATTTCCTACACCACCTAATATGGACTCATATTTTCCACCCACAGGAGAGCATAAATGGCCATTTCTCTCCCTTTCACTATCATATTAACCCTTGTCTTTTTTGGGTCAAATAATAAAATGTTGCCCACTTGGGTCTCCCTAGGACTATTAGTTCCAAGTTTCCATAATTTCACAGTACAATAATTCATTTTCTTAAAACTATGATCGAGATATATGAAATAGCGATTTTTACCTGCAAGTCCACTTTCCTAAGTTTAAAATCTTTAATATTAGCTAATTTTAGAATTATCAAACATATCAAAAACATAAGGCCACATGGACTATAGAAGAAATACATTCCAAAAGGAACCCAAACTCAAGGCTGATAGTTTAAAATGTTTACTACAGCTATAGTTCATATAAATACAATTTCCATTTCTGTAGTAGAAATGTATAGAAGAGTATTTCTCAGTCTAATTTATTTTTAGATGACTAATTCTTTAATTGCCAGAGGGCATGTGTACTCACCAGAGATGAAGAGACAGAGAGGGAGAGGGAGAAAGTACTCCCCAATGGGACATGGTCACATAGCAATTCCTTCCCCTCTACCTCTCCATCCTGTCAGGATTTGGGGCAAGCAGACACAGCACCTGGCATGCTTGCTTTTCAAGCTACTGGGGCCAGGATTTGAGCCATAGTTCGTCATGTGGGACCTAGCTTGCCTTAACCACTGGACCACAGGATAGATCCCTTTTTTAAAATACTTTTAAACAGGTAAATGTACATACACACGCACACACACGTATATGAGACAAAGAGAGAATCAATCCCCGGGAGGGATGCCAAGCCACAATCCCTTCTCTGCCATGCTCCTCTTGGGAATTTTGGGGAAACACTCACATGCACCTAGCACATGCCTGGCATGTTTTTCAAGTGGCCAGGTCTGGGACTTGAACCACATGGTCCACCATGTGGGATCCAGTACCCTAACCTCCATGCCACCTGCTGGCCCACGTTTATAAATACTTTTTCCTCCTTTGTTCTCCTATCACCTTTATTTTACTGTATGCAACAACAAACTTAATTGTAATGTCTTTACCTAAATTCTAATTTAAATTAACTATTAGATGGTTAGTAGCATTATTACCTTTAAAATAGAAAAATTTAACAGTGTTTTGTAATGACAATAGTTTTAAAGTAAAAATTAATGCTCTTACCTGTTATAAAATGAGCACTGCATAAGTGGACTTTGTGGACTTGTAGCAATATTCGCTAATTCTGTTAGCCAATCCACCTCATTTTCACGGTAAGTATTTTCTGATATATCTGAGGTATTCTGGTTCCAAGATGGTCTTGAATATTCTTGATGTGAAACATCTGAATTTAGCTGGTACATGGCAGATTGGGTAGAATCACTTTGAACAGCCTGAAGTTCAGGAAGGTCATCTGCAAAAAAAGTAACTCAAAATTATTTTTAAAAATATACTGATGCAAAGAACAATAATTATAGATGGAAGAGAAGTCATCAAATTTAGCAAATTGATTTTGTAAGGAAAATCATAAATTCAACATTAAATTTAAAATGTGTTCTTAAATAAAATGACACCGTATATATTTTTTAAGAAATTTTAAATTAAGTATTATTATTATTTAATTTGCTATAGGGCATGTGCACTTACCAGAAAGAAAGAGAGCAAGCGAGCAAGCAAGCAAGCAAGCTGCAGATCTGGGACTCAAACTCTGGCAGTTCAGCACTTTAACTACCACATCACCTGCTGGTCCCAATGCCTTATACATTTAATAATCAACATAGCCAAATGGAAAAGTAAACCCAATAAATGTAAATGCTGTAAATGACTCCACTACCTAAACCACGTACCATATTGTTCACAGACTAAAAAATAGTTTTGGTTGGTATTTACAGTCTCTTCTGCCCCTTTTCTGTTTCCCCCTTTTTTTGTACCTCACCTGGGCAGGGATCCGTAAGTCACTAAGGTATTTTTACATTAACATGTTAATGAAGAAAAGACATTTCACATGTGTGCATATATGTACTTACTACTTACATAGTTTATTAACCTGTTATACAGATTATTACAATCATAAAAATAATTTCCAAATAAAAGAATTTAGATCATATACTATAAATTTTTAGGTACTTTTACTTACACAGCTCTGTGTTAAATTTCTTTTTACTAAGATAATCTGAACTTGGTAATATTTATTGCTTATATTTTTCCTATAAGGGTATTCCTGAAAGGCAATTTGATAAACTTTCAGCTCTCTGAGATAAAAAGTAGACATGCTACCGAAGAACCACTTGTGTATGTACAAAAGCTATTAATACTATAGAGAACAGTGAATTCCAAAAAATCAAATTCTACAAAACAAAAAAGAAACTAAAGCAGGGAAGAAAGACCATACTGCAGGTCTTTTTTTAAAACAAACAAACAAACAAACAACAACCAAAAAAAAAACTTTCTCTCTAGGAAATGAACCACACACCTACAAATTCTACAGACCCACTGGGTCCCTAAAACATGTAAGGAAAACTTTGATTTTCCTAAATGTCACCATAGAAGTACATATAATCTCTATTCAGGTGAATTTTCCAGAATTATCTACTAAACCTCAAGTAAGTCTTAACTGAAGTACTGATTCTGGTTTCCCATAAAACTGACTAGAAGGTATTGCCTACCACACTGTACTAACAAAATCATCCCACACCATAATTCTCGTGGTGTTGTAGCTAGTTTCCTTTCCTTCATTGCCAACACTCTTCCTTTGACCATTATTTCTTTTTTTCTTGTAAAGAGTTCATTTCTCTTTGAAGTTCCAAGAAATTAACCTCTTTTTAACTGAAGTCATAAATGAAAGAGTTTTTGACTCCCCTGGCCCTTGGTTCCTGATTTCCTTCTGAAACCTAAAACATGATGGTTGAGAATCAACTAGTGCTTAAAATGGAGGTCCTTGTATATTAGAACCCAGAAAATCCTTGGAATTCTAACCGTTTAAGTCCCAAGAATTTTAAGATTCCAATAATTCCCAAACATTATTGGCATATATAATCTTATTCCTTTATTACAGCATGTATAAAATGAGGATAATCATATCTTCTCCTCAGGGTTTTTATGAACATTAAGGAAAATTACATAATACAATGGAGACAAAGCAAGGCTGAAAAGCTGGACAGCAAGCCAAGGTCACCCATTAGCTCTCTGCTCCTGAGTACCAGACTCAAAGCACTGTAATTCAAAATTATATCTCAATAAACCTTCACATTTCTACAGCTCACAGATCTCCGGAGAAGCTCAGTGATAGTAAACACCACAAATGTCAGATCCTCAAATTTCAAGGATCCACTATAACTTCCTATTATTCTATCAAATCAGCCATGAAGAGGAGCTAAGCATAATTTACTGAGCTTACTGTGAGAATGTTTCAGAAGTAATATCCTTTGAAAAGCCACAAAGCCCCATTTTTCTAAGGCGCTTAAAAGTCCACTCTTAAACACAAACTAAAGCAGTTTAAAAATCTGTAAATGAGTTCTATGATAACCATAAATAATTCAAACTCACATGCTGGTTTTAAAGCAGTAACAAGAGAATGTTGAAAATTCCTGATATACAAAAACTTCACAACTCTTTCAACCAATCATGGCAGGTGAAGAAGCCAAATATGAAAATTCATCTGAATCCTAGTGAGATTCCCAAATAACTTTTAATTTTGTTTACCAAGCTCCATGTGCTCATCGCAGGAGTTATATCCAGGTGAGGACGGCAAATTTTCATTACACTGCAGCAACTCCAGTGAGTCATTCATGCCTGAAGCCCTCTTGTCCATTACCAATAGGAGTTTCTGAACTGCATTAGGCATCTGATTTGTCTTTACTTCCCACACCATGTTATGGTGCTCTGACTTTAAAAACAGAAGAAGAAAAAAATGTCAGTCATGCAATTTGGAGAGAATATGAGTATAAAATCAATCAGACATATCACAATGTGACATTAAAAAAAAAATCATACATTGCTACCTACATCTCCCTAGAATTCTGTAGGCCAGAAGACTTCCTAATATTTTGGCCTCCAACTGTATATTTAACACTAAGTTACACATATACCCCAGAGGTTATCATCTTGAATTTTAAACTATCTTTTCTGCTAAGAATAAAGCAGTATTACGAATGCTTTTATTTCTTTACCCTAGTAACTCTCAGATGCAAACAGTGAAACTAACAATTATTTTTTACTTGTACCTTAAAATTACAAAGAAAATTAACACAACTTTCCTCAATTAAGTTGAAAAGACCGAAAGAACATTTTTAAGGCTGTTTTATCAACTATGTTCATGATTTTGTTTCCTCATATTCTAAAGTGAGTAACTGCAACACATTTGAAGAAAATTACATTCTCTAAAGAATATTTAAGTTTTGTTTTTGTCTTTGTTTCTGCTTTAGGTGTTTGCCATAGGATGCATGCACTCACCAGAGAGAGAGAGAACTGAGAAATCATCCCCCCACCCCCAGGGGGATGGACACATAGCAATCTCTTCCCCTCTATTCTCCTCTCAGGATTGTGGGTATGTGTGCACATGAGCCCAGCATGATTCTCAGGCTACCAGGTTCATTACTCAAACCATGGTTGGCCATGTGTGATTTCAGTGGTCTAACCACCATGCCACCTACTGGTCCAAGAAAGTTTCTTGAAATGACCATTTATTACTGTTTGCATAAAAATTAAAACATATTAGCCAAAATAAAGATACCTGTCATTGTGATTACATAAATTTACTATCACCTCAAGCCTACAAAGTTATCACAAGTAAAAGAACAATTGGGTTAATATAGTTAAACAATTTTTCAGCAAAGTCTACCAGCTAGATTTTGCTATGAGAGAAAAATTTGGTTATACCTTTTACACTCTGGCCTTTGGACAATGATCAAATTAGTTATTTAACATGTGCAACAACAGCAGGAAGACCTTTTTTCTCAGGCTTTACTCCAAATTTCATTAGCAAAAAAATTCCTGACTTTACAACAATATGTAGGTTGAGCACCCCCTAAAAAAAAAAAAAAAAAAAAAAAAATCTGAAATGCTAAATCCAAAACTTTTTGAGCACTGGGACTAGCAGTGAGCATAATGGCTATGTTGCTGGACTCCCATGCAGTCAACCGTGGTTCGCGTTCCGGACCCAGTGACTGGGGCACGGGGCACGTGTGCGTGCATGCCGAAGATCCTGAGAATAGAGGAAAAGGGATTGCGGCATGGCCATCCCCCCTGGGGGGTGATTTCTTGCTTTCTGTCTCTCTTTTTCTGTCTGGTGAGCACACGTGCCCTATGGCAATTTGAGCACTGACATGACACCTTAAGTGGAAAATTCCATACTTGACCTCATCTGGATCAGAGTCAAAATGAAGAAGGGATTGTGGCCATCCCTCCTAGTGGGTGATTTGCCACTTTTCCTCTCACTGTCTCTCTCTCCAGCAAGTACATGTGCTCTAAGGCAGGGGGGAAAAAAAAAAAAACTCTCAAAAAAAAATTGCTTTAAGGCTATGTGTGTAAGGTATATATGAAACATAAATAAATTTCATGTTTAGACTTAGTTCTCATCTCCAAGATATTCATAATGTACATGCAAATATCCCAAAATCTGATGAGTGGGGAAGGAAAATAATCTGAAATCTGAAAAAAAAAAAAAAATCTAACTAAATATACTTCTGGCCCCAAGCATTTCAGATAAGGGATACTCAATCTGCATAGGTTTTCCTCAAGATAAAACAAAATATTGCTGTTAAAAGTCACTAAAAGTTCAGGTCAACAAGTGATGTGGTGGCTCAAGTCCTGGATCCCAGATGGCTTGAAAAACATGCCAGACTCATGTGCGTGCATTCCCAAAATTCTTAAGAGGAACACAGAGAAAGGATTGTGACTGGCCATCCTGCTGGGGGGAGGGGAGGAATATCTCACTTTCTTTCTCTTGTCTCTGGAAAGTACACAGGCCCCTATGGCCAAAAAATAAAAATAAATTTTTAAAAATCCCTAAAAGTAGATTACTCTAGTTTAGGCTGATCGAAATTGCTGGGAAAAGATGTTACTTAATATTTAAGCCAGAGCTTTAAACCATGATGGATGTAATCACCAATCAACACTGATAGCACTGATGTATTTTTTTCTACAAAGGCATTTTCATATGAAGTATTCTGACTGTAATATACAGTCACAACAAAAAGAACAAGTCATTAAAAAATATTACTTCTAGCCTCCCCAACAATATTTAGATACTGCTAAGATTGTTATACTTCAAATATTTTTCATGCACACATAACCACAATGTTTTGTCTTCATGTTGCCTCATATTACATATAGCTCATCTTTTCTCTTCACATAGTTCATAAGCATTTTCCTACATTATTAATTTTTCCAAAGATCTAAATAGTTAAATATACAGCATACGGATGTACCAAAATTCACTTATACCTCCTACTGCTGAACATGTTAGTCCTGTTTTTTTCACTCTTGTAAATATCATGGATCTATTTTTCAAAAAGAGACTTGCAGGGCCAGCATGTGGCGTGGTGGTTAAGGCACTGGACTTCCACATGGCTGACCATAGTTCAAATCCGGATATGACAGCTTGCTTTCTTACTCCTCCCCCTGCCCCCCCCCCCAATCTCTCTCTGGTCAAACTAATACATAAAAATTAAATAACTCTTTTTAAAAAGAGAGATTGCTTAATCTGATTATTTTAGATTTCTAGGTACAGATTAGTAGGTTTATTGAGCATCTTAAGGTTCTTGAAACATACAAACTGCATACTGCTTTACTTTAATTATTAAATTCTTTCTTGGATACTTTCTGTCTCAGCTACTCAAAAATAACCCTTATCAATGGGCTTTAGAGCTTTACTTAGTATCGACCACAAAATGTATTACAGTGTAGTGAAAAGGGTACTTAGTGAAAAGGGCACTGGGTTAGATGTAAGGAAACATGGGTTTTGATTCTGGCTTGATCACTTATTACGAATGACTTAAGTGACTGAATTTCTCACTAACTCAACATCACCTCTAAAACAGGACTAATAATAACTGTCCTATGTTCCTCCTAATAGTTGTGAGGATGAACTGAAACAAAGTAAAAAATATGTAAAAGGACTTCTTTTAAAGTTATTCTATCCTGAGGGTGTTGGTGAGCAGTATTATACATACTTTGGGCTTTTAGTGTCATAAATACAAGTTAGTGAAAATAATTAATAGTACACAATCAGACAGTTATTTTACCATAGTTTCCTCCCTAGGAAATACAGTTTGTACAGGACCCCATAAAATTCATGTGTAAAAGAATTAAGGGGGTAAAAACTTGATCTGATTATTGTTTTGAGGGGTAGAGCCTTTGGGTTGAGCTCAGTGACTGGGTGGTTAGGGCAGTGGCCCCTATGATTGAGTCTGAATGAGGTCCTATATGAACACAGACCACACTCTGCTCTGCTCAAAATTCTCATGTGTGCCATTTTATGGTATCTTTGAAATTCTCAGCCACCCAAATCATGAGACAAAGAAACCTCTCCCTTCATAAATTACCCAGTCTCAGGATTTTCTATTAGCAATTCAGTAGCAGACTGAGATGAAAAAGCATCCAAGAGGTCTCATTAGCATGCCATTACTTTGGGCAATTAATAGTTTATCTACCTAAAAGATAATCTGAGACATTCGAAAGAAATCAGTACTTCACCAGTTTAATACAACGTACTAATGAATCAGTCTTAGTACATAGTTACGGCAAATCTGTTAGGGTATAATTCTCACAAAATTGGTGGCTAGAAGAAATGCAATTAGGAATACAAATTTCAAGTAACAAATCATGATTGTGAGCCTCTACTTTCTCCATGAAAAAAATCTGAGCAAATTTAACTAATTTATTTTTCAACACAACCCTTGTGATATGCTGTCATACACATGCTTTAAATGAAATGATGTCCAGGCCCCAAGGCTACAGAGGATCTGATTTATTTGGTCTTACTTAATTTTGGGTATAGCCCTGCACACTGTTTTTTATTTGTTTGCTTTCAAAAGAAACCCAGATGCAGTGTTGAGAACCCCTTGACTAAAAGTGTTTGCTAAATTATTTTACATATACATATATAAACATATTTATTTAATGCATATTATGTACAAAACAGTATACTAGTTGCAATGTTGGACATCAATATGAACCTCAAGGAACCTATACTTTAGTGGAAAAATATAAGCAAATGAATGTAATTCTACACAGCAGGACTTGGCTATGAGTAAGTAAAAAAAGAAAGGATCTCCCATGAGAGAAACTCACATGAGCCAAAAGAGTTGGCGAAGTACTCTCAACGAGATCAGAAAAACGTAGAATCTAGTATCATCAAAAAGAAAGATGGCCTTGGGTGTCATGTGGTCACAGACACTGAAGCACTGAAGGTACCACATGGAAAAGTGGCCTAGGATCAAAATCTTTAATCCTAGCTTAGGAAAACTGAACTTTATTTATTTGGCCACATAAGAACTCTGAAACCAGGCTACATGAGGTTATATACCAGATTAGCCATTTACTAGCTATGTGTCCTGAACAATTTACTTAAAGCACTCACTCCCATAAGTTGTTGTAAACAATGAGGTAATATAAAATGCTTAAAACAGTGCCTAACACCAAGAAAACCTTCGATGTAGAATGACTAGTATTATTAGCAATTATCAGATAATGGAGAACCACTAAGCATTTTTGGACAGAGGTCTGATGTGATCAAACTATAATCATTCTCCTTCCATCTATACAAAATCATATGGAAAACACTGTATGAGTATGCAGGAACATATAATATCTAAGGGAAGGTGTATTTTAAAAAGAGCATTCACATTCTCAATTTCTATATAAGCTACCTGCCTCCAACTTCCTTTGCAGGAGTTCTCAAAAGAAAGGTAATTGGCAGTATCAATGCAGATTACTTATTTAGTAACTCCTAAGAGAAGAACAAGTCGTCATTGTATGTGAGTTACGTAATAGCTATAGCAATAACAGTTTAAATACTGGATCTTAACTCTTTCCATAGAAATCTTTCTGTCACCTTAAGTATACAGAATACACTCTAACCTTATCTTAATAACTCAAACACCTATGAACATTTGTACTAGGCTTTACATTTAGATATAAGCTGCACAAGTCAATCCCAGTCGTGATCTTTAACTTGAAAACTTTCTCAGTTTTTACCTTTATTATGAAACTCAGAGGTTGTGCTACAGATAAATATTTCTTCAGAGCTATCTTCTGTGTATGGACAGTGTTGTTCTTAGGATCCACAGCAGCACAGCTGCAATCTGTCTTGTCCTCCCCCTCTCTCTGCAGAGCTCTTTGGTTTGCTCATTCTTCCCAGCTAGATTTCTTTCCTTCCCAATCACAGCTTCTGCAGTGTCCACCATTCATCAGTACACTAATATCTCCCTGTAACTTCTATTATTTCTTCAGCACCTCCTCTTAGTTATCTACCACCATCCCATGGCAACACTCCTTAAATGAAGTTGGAAAAAAGCACTTCAATTTCAAAAGAGCTACCTACAGACAATAAAAGGGACTAAAAATTTATTGAACTTAAGTTCCATGTGTCTGCATCTCCCATAGCTCATAACTATTAAAAGTTTGTTCTTGACATAACTGAGATTTTGCTAATGTAAGCATCATACAGTAAGAGAGAGCCTAGACTTAAAGACAACAGACAAGAGATCCACTCGTGATGGCTGTGTAACCTGGGGCAGGTAACTCACTCAGCTTCATACTGCCTTCTGTACTTATTTCAAAGGGCTATTGTGAGAATTAAATAAAATACATGAGAACAAAATCCCACTATATCCCAATGTGAGTTTTCTCTCTCTCATTCTTCAGTCCAACTCTCTTGAGCAAAAGCAAAGTTTCTGACATCTAGGAATACCAGAAGAGTCCTTACTCAAAAATACTCCTCCACATAAATCAATTAGATATTCATTTTGATAAACAAGCTCCTCTTTCAAATATCTCCTGGTAGAGCTAACCCTATTGTTCATTCATGCTTTTGTATACTGCTTTGGTATTAGAGGTCTCAACACAGCTTGCCTTGTATTTTAGTTAACTCCGCACGTGTCCTCTCTTCAGTAGATCAGTGATTTTGAAAGGGAAGAGTAAAAGTCTCCAACAGTTGTACTTTGGAAATGCCATGTTCAATACCACAAATTTTGAGTGGGGATTGGAAAGCCCAATTGCTTTTGTTACACAAGCTTTCAGAAGCAAATGTCCAGAAATTCTAAGGAGAGGAACTGAACTAAATAGAAATAGCCAATCTTAGGAGGAGAGGAACTGAACTAAATAGAAATAGCCAGGTCTCAGTAAATGAAAAAGGAGGACACTTAGGTTTCACAAGATGCCTACCTGTCTACATGTCAACCTATAAAGCAGTTCTACATGTTTCATCTGATTTTACTTAAAACTCAAAATGGTCCTGTGAACCAAATATTAAAATGGATGAGGAAACTAGGACTCTGATCCTACTGGACCTTTTTTTTTTTTTGAAGTGGAACTAAGAGGAAAAAAATGACAAAAGTTAGACTCTTGCTCTCAAGTGCCTGTTCTTCCTGGAATCCTTATCTTTCCATCATCATTATGAATTTCACAAGAGGACCTTCTATGTCTTCTCCTAACCTTGAAGGACTTCCATAATGAGTCCAGACTACGCACGATTGTTTTGAAAGAGGGGGTGAAGAGAATAACCTCCAATTAATTTATATCTGATAGGAGGAATTCAGATATTTTAAATGGATTACAAAATGGTAAGCTAAAGCAAATCTCCATAACAAACTACATTAAATGCAAATTTATACACCAAAAGCAGTTGTGTGGTCTTATTACAGTTCTTTTAGTTTTGGGGAGTTTTTATTGAGGTTTTTGCCTTAGGGTGTGCTCCTTGGGAGGGGAGAGAAAGACAGTGACAGAGAGGGAAAGTGAGAAATCATCCCCCAGGGGGGATGGTCACACTACAATCCCTTTTCCTCCATTCTCCTCTTGGATTTTGGGCACACAAGCACACATGCCTGGTATGAGTTTTAAGCTGCCAGTCCAGGACTTGAACCTAGTCAACTACATGGAAGTCCAGCAACATAACCATTACACCATCTGCTGGTCCCTCAACAACAATGCTTACAGGTAGGTACTAGTCCTATTTACAAATAAGAAAACTGAGGCATTGAGGTTAAATTGCACAGAGCCTTAGGAGTGGTAAATTAGTGTATAGTAGCTTTTTTTTTTTGGAGAGATTTTTGCTGTAGGGCGCGTGCGCTCGCCAGACAGACGAGAGAGAGACAGAGTCAGAAAGCAAGAAATCACCCCCCCCAGGGGGGATGGCCATGCTGCAATCCCTTCTCCTCCATTCTCCTCTTGGGATCTTGGGCATGCACGCACACGCACCCGGCATGAGTTTTGTTTTGTTTTGTTTTTAGATTTTTTTAAAATTTTTATTTACATTTTTTAAATACATTTAATCACATTATTTAGCTTACAAGGTGATCATTTCAATATATGAACATTTCTCCCCAGTCTAGTTGATCAAAACATAGCAACACTACCTCCCTATCTCAACAATGCTGTCTTGGTATCCCTCCTCCAAATGTTCTTCCCCAGGCCCCACTCCTCCACACACACCACATCTGGCATTCACATCCACCTCTTCTGTTTGTACATCCTTTAGCCCGTCAGTTTCAGTTATAGAGTGCGGATATTTGGTATATATTAAGTGGGGACATATAGTGTCTCTCCTTCATAGCCTGGCTTGCTTCACTCAGCAGTAAATCTTCCATATTCTTCCACTTTCTGTCAAAAGTCAGGGTTTTGTTGTTCTTAATGGCTGAATAGTATTCCATAGAGTATATGGTAAATTTTTGAGGAATCTCCAAACTGTTCTCCACAGTGGTTGGACTAATTTACATTCCCAAGCCACCAGGTCCAGGACGCAAACCGTGGTCGACTACATGGGAGTGCAGTGACATAGCCATTACGCTAACTGCTGGTCCCCTACAGTAGCATTTTTTATCAAAACAAATCCACTTTTGGTCTGTTTGTTTGTTTTCTTAGCATACTGGCAAGCTAGAGTGGCAAACAAATATTACTTGAAGCAAATTTCATTAAAAATATTCTCAAGGTGGGCCAGCAGACGGTGTAGCGGTTATATAGCTGGACTCCCACAAGGTTAACCACTGTTGGAGTCCTGGACCCGGTCGCTTGAAACTCATACCTGGGACATGTGCATGTAGCAAGATCCCAGGAGAAGGGACTGTGGCTTGGCTGGGGGGCAGGGGTGGTGGTGGTGGTGGTGTGATTCCCATTTCCTGTCTTTTTGTCTCTTTCTGGTAAGTACATGCGCCCTCTAGCCAAAATCTCTCTTAAAAAATAAAATAAATAAAAAAGAATCGTTGCGAACAAAGATTCTAGATCTCAAATCCTTACCTTTGCTAGACACTGCTCAACCACATCTATACAAGTTCTTAGTAATTAGTCCTCATTCAACATTAAGAGCTAATGCTAATGAAGATAAAGATAACATAAAACCCGTAATACCTCTACAAGTAGCCATACATAAAGAGTATTCTTAATTCAAATAGAATTTGAGTCGTCATATTAAAAAAAATCTGAAATAATAAAAAAATTCACATTATTAAAAAAAACTTATTTTTCTAAGCTTGACTATAATTGTAAACATTTTCATATTATCATATAACAACTTGTGAGCAAAACTTTTCTAAGGTACTATCAGTACTTTTAAAAATCCAATCAACCCTTAAAGAAGAAAATTACCTTTCTATTATCTTTATAGAAAGCGACAATATAAATTATATTTAGTACCAAAGTAAATGCAGGTCGATATATGAAGGCATGTGAGTATTACTGTCAATTACAGTGTCATTTTTCCTGAAATGTTCGTGATATACCAGAAATTGTCAATTTTGGATTTTTAAACATTTTTTATGAACCATTTTTTCCATCCCAAGTCAATATTCACTTTCGTATTTAAAAGAAACACATAAAATACCTGGCATTGTCCTGCTATTGGGGTGTTACTTTTTTCCATATGGAAAAAAGTACTGACATTTTCATTTTAAATATGATATACAGGAGACTTGCTTGCAATTCACCCAGAACCTTCAGGGCTTAGTGCATTCATTTAGTCCACGCCATTTGCCTTCCTCACTGGGCACTTGGACAGTGAATAGAGTCCAAGAAGTTAAAGGAGACAACTCTTTCAAGGCATACCATCATTTTCTTTTCTTCTGGAGAGGTTTTTGCTATAGGGCACGTGTGCTTGCCAGATAGAGACAGACAGAAAGACAGAAAGAGAGGGAGAAATCAACCCCCCCCTCCCGGGGGTGATGCCACACCGCAATCCCTTCTCCTCCATTCTCCTCTTGGGATATTGGGCGGGCACGCACGCACACGCGCCTGGCATGAGTTTAAGCCACCCGGTAGGGGACTCGAACTGCGGTTAACTACATGGGAGTCCAGCGACACAGCCATTACACTAACTCCTGGTCCCACACCATTATGTTTGAAGTCTGAGAATATGCACTGTCAAGCACTCACTACTACTACAGGTATGAGACAAATCTTAGATACTCTCCAAATATGTAGGAGTTTGAGAAGTGAACAAAGTTTTCCAGGCACAAAGAAAAGGTAACAAGGTTTATTAAACTAAATAAGATGGAAACTAGAAAGTGAAATCAAAATTTTATTCTATAATTTGTCAAATTAGAATATACAACTTTAAAATGGTGAAATGACTTCCTCCAAAGTGTAAAATAACTCAAAAACTTTGAGGTTTAATTCTTCTACAAACAATCCAAATTTAAGACTTGTCAAATATTGCCGGTCTAGTGAGAACTGAGTTTATTCAAGGAAATTGAACAGATGACCTACAGTCTTGTTTGCAAGATCAAGCAAAACATAATAGCAAAAAAAGGGGGAAAAAAAAGCTACAAGAAATTCATTTCAGATTTAGGTCACTGTCAAAACAATATAAAATGTTTAAATTATAAATTTTTTTCTAATTCTCAAAAGGTAAACTTTAATTTCTAAACAACCATCAGAAGTCATCCCTTACTCCTACTTTGAGGGAAAACAAACCTAAACACTTGGTCGGAATGGTTGCTAAGACTCTACCACTTCCCAGTGTGCACAACTTTTTTCAACCTTCCTCCAGTCCTGGCATCAGTGACACTCCGAGCCAAAAACAAAACAAACAAAAAACAAAACAAACAAAAAAAAAAAGAAAAAACTCAAGTACTGCCCTGCTGCCAGTGATTTAAAGATGACTCTAGCTGGAAATTCCCTGAAAACGGACTCTGGAGGGCGCAGGGAGCACAGCGGAGAGTGGAATCCCCTCGACGGCTCACAGCGTTAAAGCTACAAAAAGCCCTGCTGTCGACTGCGCCTGGGTTCTTTTTTGTTGTGTTTTAATCTGCCTGCGGCAGCAGCCTAAAATGAAAGGCGGGGACTGGAATCGCCTGCCAAGCCTCTGCTCTGGGTCACACCGAGCAGCGCCTCCCGGTTCTCGCCAAGTCCATCCCCCACCCTCTTTCGCCATTCACCGCGCTCCCCTCCCCCCCATCATGTGACCGCAGCCTGGACTCCAGGCTTGTTTTTCCCCTCGGCACAGCCCCAATGCGCAGGCGCCTCGGAGCCCATTCATTCGAACTGCGTAACAATAAGCCCCGGGGCCCTGCCGCTGCGCGAGCTTCCCAGCTCGGCCCGAGCCCCTCACGACCAGAGAGGAGGCGGTGCCTCGCTGGGGTCCCCCACACCCGTCCAGCCCACCACCCGCCGCCAACCTCCGGCCCTCCGCCCACAAGCAAGGAGTTGAAGTCAAACTTTCCTAAGCACTTAAGGCGCCGCGGCGGCCCCTTCCCCGCCCCGTCTCCGCACCCGGCCCGGCCACCCACCACGCAACCCGTCCGTGGCGCAGGCTGCGCCCGCTCTCCTCCCATCCCCCGCCCTGAGACCCTCCTGGCGCCGCCGCCGCGGCGAAGCCCAGGTGAGCTCGCGGCAAGCACGGATCCGGTAAGCTCGCCGCGAGCAGTACTTAGACGGTTAAGTGCCCCCACAGCGAGGGGAGCCCTCGCGGAGGTAGAGCGCGCACCGGAGTTCGCCGGACCGCCGGATCCCCTCGAGCTCCTGCCCCTCCCTTCCCCACCCCCACCCGTTCCCGAACTGAAAGACAACAAACCCTCCGCGGAGTGCGGGCAGCCCAGGCACGGGCCGCCCCGGCAGCGACAACACCATCAGTAGCTCGCGAACCCCTCTCGGACTGATGCTGGCTTCCCTGGCGCGCGATACTGCTCCCTTCGCGGATCTTACTCCTCAGCCGAAACTTTCCTACTTACCAAACCCGTCGCCATTACCAAGTCTTTCAAGCTTCGTCTTCCCCCTCCCCTCAACCCCCCGGGGGTTGAGCCACCTCCCAGCCCTTTCGCCGCCTTATTGGTCGACATAACTGTCATTCGATCTTTCCTTTTTCCCATTGGGTGATACCGTGGTCCCTCACGGGAGGCGGGCATGTATTGACTTTTGTGTTGTGTTTACTGGAGAAGACGGCATGTCAATCACTAGAGTAAGCCCTTTGGATTGGACAGCTGCCGAGACTCCAGGGATCCGAGCCAAACTTTGCCTCCGAAATGGGTTGTGGGTTCGTAGTCTCAGCCTTCCCCCGTAGCGCTAGGACGTTGCTGGCGGGAGGAATCCGTGGGACTACATATCCCAGAGGTGCGTGCGCAGCGCAGTCTTGATAGTAAACAAGAGTCATAGGGACACGTGTATCAGCTCGTTTGTTTTGGTGTCTGGGACAAAAGGGAGGGGGCGGAGGAAGGGAGTGTTCTAAAGCTTGGGCCTTTTCTCTTCCTCTGGGCCTCTGTTAGCACTTAGGGCGGCCCAAGCCTCTCGAAGCACCCATTCCAGGCCAGGAACCATCAGGGTGGCTCGCTGCTCAAAGTTTGGCAGGAGGCCAAGGTATTGTTTTAGTGCAAGGGGAAGGAGATGACTGCATAGGCGGAAGCAGTGCAGGCTGGCTGGCGAGCGACTCGGTCACCCACAAATCATGGTCCCAGACACGACGGGGATGATGAAGGTGATGCTGGACTCCACCCGCCGTGGGAAGAACTAGTCCTTTATCCTGCGCATTGCCGCACCAGCCCCTGGAGACAGCAACTGGAGATTTCTTTGTCGGCTCTATTCAATTCACCTATGGTCTGTTGAACACTAGCTAAATGCCAGGCACTGTGAGGCTTTGGGATGGACACTGAAAGAGAAAGAAGCTCAGCGAACAGAGAATTTGCACAGCTGTTAGGGAGAGTGGGCGAGTACTTTGAGACTGAGGCAAGTCAAAGCTGTGTTCTCCAAGTCCACCAGCTTGCTCATTGGTTAAGGTAAAACAGAGAGGTCTAATGGATGCCTTAAACTGATTTAATTTGTGACTCAAGATCTGTTCCTTTGGTGAGGTTCTGTTGTCCCTTTTTACGCTCCAGAGCGCTTCCCATTGATGAAAGAAAGAAAAGTGCCCTTCCTCTTCGTTTCCACTAGGAGGTCCTCCTTAAGTTACAATGCTCTGACTCACCAGAGGCTGACCGCCTCTGCTTTATAGCTACCTTCGCTTTAAACATGGCCGCGTGTAGCTTCGCTATATATAAAGTGCTATTTTTACCATTCACAATAAAAAGGCATTATTAAGCTTTTTTCCTCCTTTGAACCTTCAGTGTTTAATCACTTAAGCAATGCTTTAGGTTTTCTTTAGGTTACTAAACGTATGCTTAAACTTAAGACTAGGGAAAAATTACCTAAGAAATCTGTTCAGAGCAAACTTTTGGAAAAAGCCTGAAATCATAGCTAGTTATTTCTTTAAAACCTCTTATATTTCTTAAATTTTTAAAAATAACCTAAAACCCACGTAAGTCAAGACATCTAATATAACCCTCCATATGCTGAAACAAGTTTTCAAATAACTTTAGGGGCTTCCCATTTGAATCCTGAAGTGACATTATTTTAAACTAGTCCTCCCTACCATGTGATCACAGATTTACTTGCTCTGCTCACAAATAGTAACCAGACTTTTTTTTTTCTTAAAATAATTCAGAAGAGGGCCAATAAGATGCTAAAATTTTCCCCTGAGGAAAAAGAACAGGATCTGACTTTATCATCTTTCAAAACAATAAAGTGACCCAAAAAGAACCATCTTTGCTACTGTGTGTATGCATGTATGCTTGTTTTATTATTTTCTTCTTTCCCTTTGTTTTGTTCTTCTTCACATTTAATTTCTTGACAAAAAAGGAAAATAATCAGTGGAGTTCACCGAATCATTTAAAATTTGTTGAATAGAGCTGAGATTTTTATGTCTAATTCCTTTCTGGAAATTAAAAAGCTTTTCTCAAAAAAAAACAAAAACAAAAACAAAAAAGTTAAGAGCGTGAGCAACTCTTCCTTACCCTCTTTAGTGAAAAACTCAGATTTGCTTTCAACTGAAACTTTTTTTTTTAGGCTTTTGCCATAGGGCACGTGCACTGCACTCACTGGAGAGAGACAGAGACAGGAGGGAAAGTGAGAAATCACACACATACACACACACACCCAGGGGGGATGGCCACACTGCAATCCTTTCTCCTCCACACTCCTCTGGGGTTTTTGGGTAACCCCACATACTCACTAAGGTGTGATTTTCAAGCTTCTGGGTCCAGGACTCAAACCTCAGTCAGCCATATGTGAGCCCTTAACAAGCCTTAACCAACACATCGTTACCTGCTGGCCTCCTGAACTTTATTTATTTATTTATTTATTTATTTATTTATTTTAGGTTTTTGCCATAGGGTATATGTGCTTTCTGGAGAGGAGGCAGACAGACAGTGAGAAGGAAAGTGAGAAATCATCCCCCAGCAGGGATGACCATGCAGCAATCCCTTCTCCTTCATTCTCCTGGAATTTAGGGCAGGCAAGCACACACATGCCCAGAGTGATTTTTAAGCCACTAGGTCCAGGACTCAAACCAGGATTGGCCATGTGGGAGTCCAGCACCTTAATCACGAGCTACCTATTGTCCCCTGAACCTTATCTTTAAAAGTTAAACTATTTTAACTATTTAACTATTTTAAGTTTTTATCAAAGGCCTTAGTGGCAACTTTTTTTTTTACTGGTAGACACTAGGATGGAAAGAATAAATTCGACTTCATATTAAATATTATACATGATTTTAAATAATTATTCTTTAATAGTGCTATAAAACGTTCATTCATTCAAAAACATTCCATTCCACGTACCATACGGCAGGACGACTCAGGTTCGTATCCCTGGTGTATCTGAATACAACAGGCCCACCGGAGGCAAAAGATCCTGGCTGGCTGCAGGGCTGGTGGGAGCATAGCAATGTGAAGACCCTGTCAGTGGTGCCTATCTGTCTCTCCTCTCATAAAGGAAATTTTAAAAGAAAATTAATTCTATTTGTTGACCACTATGCTAACTATGATGAGAATACAAAGATAAAAAGTTTTTTCATTTTATCTCATTTTTGTTCAAGTCTTTCAATATGAGTTACAGTCAGATATTCAGTCACAACTGATTAAATAAAGGTATTATAATTCCATACATCTTTAAGTGGACAGTTAGTCCTGTCTTCTAAATGACCATATTAGTACCATGTGTTTATCTAACAGGAACATTATTCATTCTTGAGCTACCAACAAAACTAGCCAACTTAGAAGTCAGAACAAACATCAAACTACAAACTAGTTGAAATCTCCTTGGAAATTTTCATGTATGTAAATTATATTTTTAGACTAAAGCAGATATAATTATAAAAGTATTACCTGTCCTTAAACTGTTACCATAATAAAATTGACATTTAAAAAATCAGCCTAGAGACCAGCCAATGGCATGATGGTTATGTCGTTGGACTCCCACATAGTTGACCACGGTTCAAGTCCTGGACCTCGCAGCTTAAAACTTACATAGAGCACATGTGTGTGAGTGCTCGAGATACCAAGAGAACGGAGAAGGGATTACAGCATAGCCATCTCCCCTGGGGGTGATTTCTTGCTTTCTGTCTCTCTGTCACTCTCTCACCAGTGGGCACAAGCATGCTATAGCAAAAAATCTCTTAAAAAAAAAATCAGCTTAATTCCTTCTCTTGGTTAGTATAGACACAATATAGCATACAAACAAACACAAAATCTATGCCAAAATGTATCAATAAACTCATCTCAAAATGTTCTTTCAGCAGTTTGTAAAATTACGTCTGTTATAAAGAAACATCAAGTTTTGTTAAAGATAAAAAAAAAAAAAAAAAATGGCACGGGGGCTAAGGGTGCTGGACTCCCACATGGCTGACCATGGTTCCAGTCCCAGATCTGGCAGCTTGGAAATCATGCCAGGTGAATGTGCATGTGTGCCCAAAATCCCAGGAGAAGAATGAAGAAGGGATTGTGGTGTGGCTACCCCCCCTGGGGGTGATTTCTCACTTTCCCTTTCCCTATTTCGGTCTCTCTCCAGTGAGCGAATGCCACCCTATGGTAAAAACCTTTAAGAAGAAAAAAAAAAAAAAACACTACATTTTCTTTTTTTTTGAGAGGTTTTTGCTATAGGGCATATGCACTCTCCAGAAAGACAAGAAAGCAAGAAATCACCCCCCTCCCCCGCCCAGGGGGATGGCCATACTGCGATCCTTTCTCCTCCATTCTCCCCTTGGGATCTTGGGCATGCATGCACATGCGCCCAGTGTGAGTTTAAGCCACCGGGTCCAGGACTCGAACCGTGGTCGACTACATGAGAGTCCAGCAACATAGCCATTACACTAACTGCTGGTCCCAAAAACTGGATAAGGCTTATTTGGGGTAAAAGCAAACAATATATTCCCCTTAACCTCACCATATCTGGCACACTGGTGACTACTTTGCTGAACTGAGAAGACATTCAAACACATAATAACCATTGCCTGAATATTCAGAATATTACTGTTCAAATTGTTAAAAGGTAAACCAATGAAATCACTCAAGTACTAAAATTAGGAAATAGAGCATGTGTACGTGGAGTCTTTGAAAATTCATGGAAAATGCATATTATGAAAAAACTATTTTTTGCACTAAAATAAACTCACACTGTAATTCCATTTTTCCACAGACTATTTGAAATCTTCTTAAAAGATCTAAAATACTACATGTCCAAACTCTCAGAAAATCTTTTACTGTATTATGTATTTTTTTGCTAGAGTGTGTGTAATATACTCACCAGAGAGACAGTCAGCCAGAGGAGAAAACACCCCCCATGAGAAATGGTCACGTTGCAATCCCTTCTTCTCTTTTTCTCCCTCCTTTTAGGATTCTGGGCACGCATGTAATCAAAAGCTGCTGGGTCCAGTTTCTGAACCCGTCGGCTATTTAGAATCTGGGTGCCTTAACCAGCAGGCCACAGAGCCAGCCCCTTAGTCAATTATTTATATACTCACAAATCCTTCCATATATCTTTTTTTAAGAATTATTTTTTATTTATTCATTCATTTATTTTAATTTGACCAGAGAGAGACACAGAGAAAGGGAAAGTAGGAAAGCAGGCCACCAGGTCTGGGACTAGAACCGTGGTCAGCCATATGGGAATGTCCAGTGCCTTCACCACCACGCCACCTGCTGACTCTCCCATATATCTTATTATACTTTAAATTAGTTAATTTTATAATTAACTTAGTTCAAAATACTCAGGTAAGTTATAGTTGTAATTAAATGCCTGGATGCTAATGAGTGCCATTTTAGAACTCCACTATGTGTCTGTTTCTTGAAATTTTTTT